CCCTAAAAGCTCGACCAGCTGGGCAGTGAGTCTGTCTCTACCCGACAAGTGCAGCCATGCCTGGCTTTCACACAGGTGCTGGGAATATAAACCCAGGCCCCCATGCTCGCACAGCAAGCATTCAGACCCGCTGAGCATCTCTCCAGCACCCATCTCACACCACAAATCTTTTTTTTTGAGACAGGGTCTTATGTATCTAGGCTGGCCTGGAACTCACCATATGGCTGAGGCTGTCCCTGAGCTCCTGCTTTCAGCTCCCAGGTATTGGGACGACAGGTATAGGCCACCACGCCAGGTTAGGACTGGTGCATGATTCCCATGACACTCACATTCAAACCCAGGTTCACAACTCCATCAGCATGTGAGATAAAGAAGAGGCATCTCCCTAGCCTAGGGAGGGATGTAGTAACACGACATTGTCCTAGACAAAGTTCATGATAGAGAACAGCACAGTTGGTGGGTAGGGGTGGGGGAAAAAATAAAATACGGCATTGCATTTTAAGTGAGTTCATGATTTATGTCAGGCTACATCTCTAGCTATCCCAGGGAGCATGCAGCAGGTTGGACTTTGGAGAGGTGCAGCAGAGCTAGGTAACTTGACAGTTCTGGATCACTAGTTGCATGTTGGGACACACACACACACACACACACACACACACACACACACACACACACAAGCAGCACAAAATACTGGATCAAGTGGCAGCCTGGGCTGTGTCCCCAGGTTTACCTTGACAGAATGGGTGCTAGCACGTTGTTTGTGAGGACTGGTGGTGGAAACCCACCTGAAGCAGGAAGGGAAAGTGCAGGCACACGGGGCAGGAGGCTGGAGGGGGTGCAGAGTAGGGCTGTGCAGCCTGGAGATGTAGGCCCCAGACTCCTGAAGCCACAGCTGGGTTGGGTCCCTACAGACGTGAACGACGCTGACGACGATGGTCATTAGTTGAGTACCTGAGCCTCTTTGTGTCTCAGGCTCATCCTCTGAAAATTCAGACAATGCTTACCCAGGACTGCATTTTCAGAAGGAGACAGATTGCTAGGCAGAGTTTACAGAGCCCAACAGGTGGGGCCAGTTGAATTTGCAGTGTTAACGGGGTCCAGGGGCTGCCCTGGTCAGCAATATTGTCATGGGTTTTGCATTCTTTTTTCTTTCTTTCCTTTTTTGTGGTGCTGAGGGTCAAACCTAGAACCTTATATTTTCTTTCCCTTCCCCCTTTCTTCCTTTATTTCTTCCTCTCCTCCCTTTCCTCCTCCCTAGTCTGTAGAAATGAGCTGAGAGGAGCATAATTCTCAGGCATAATTACCCAGCCTACTCCTGAAGGCTCGGGATGGTGATCTGTAACAGGTAGAGAAAGGTGGAGTCTGTCTGCCTCAGGACCACTGAGAAAGTAGCTGAGTCCCAACAGATTCCCAAAAACACCAGTCAAGCATCAGAGGTGGCCAGCTCTGTCTCTTCGCCTTATAGGTCAGTGTCTACAAAGCATTTCCCATTGACAGCCAATGAGAAAAGCAAATCCTTTCAAACAGTGGACCAGAGCTTTCTCAAGATACAGGGAGACTGAGTGGAGTGGGGAGTGTTCCCGGGACTGACCGGTTAATGTTCCGATGTGGCCATCCAGGTGCATTACGACTTACATTCTATACATGGACATGTGCTGAGGTTAAGAATGAAAGCAAAACAAACTTGATCCTCAAAGACTGTGAGTGGAAGAAAGCAGCCAGCTCTGTGCAGAAGGGTGTGCCCCTGGTGAATAAGTGGAATTCAAAACCAGTCTTCCCCAGGCAAGAGAATGAGAGGACCAGGCAGGCTGGGGTAAGGACAGCCTCATCCCTCCCCCACGATGGCATTGAAAATACCTTTCTTTGTTGAGAGAACACACCTGAGCCGAGCTCGCTCCACCTCTCCCCCTGGAATCCAAGGAGAGGCTGGGCAGGTCAATCCTTCCAGGTGCCTAGTGTAATGAGAGGCCTCGTGCTAATTTCCAGACGCCCGTACGAAATTAAGGCTTTGTCCAGGCTCTTTCACTGAGAAGAAAGAGATGAAATGAACGCTACCCTCAGAGGGGCCAGGCAAGCCCACATGAATATGTTTTGATTCCTGAGACACAAAACCATTTATTTGAGGGTTCATTTCGGTATTTAGAGCCATGCACATAGAACACGTTTCCAGCGACATGAATAGCTACCAATTGTTGCGGCAGATTAATCTCTTACAAGCATGTCAGCAGCAAGGTGAGGGGAAACAGGAGACTTTGCCCCCACGTGAACCTTCTGAGGACCATCAGTTCCCACATTCATCGACTGCCACTTTCTCCTTCATGCGGTGGCGCCAGCTGCCCCCTGCCACCTCTGCCCAGCCGAGGTGGTTTCTCTGATCAGCCACCTGGGTGGGGCATGCTGCCATTTTCAGTTTGGAAGGAGAAGCCTATCAATCTGCTGCCTGGGAAGAGAGACATCACCGAATTGTCATTTGCCCTCCGAACGCAGGAAACATCAATTGCATCGCAGTTCATCAGAGTTGGCACCACCTGCCACTTCCTTTCTCAGCGGTAATTAACATGCTGTAGCTCACCGTTGATTGATTCCAAGCAGCCTGACGCTGCCAACAAGGAGGTCTAGATGAAATGCTACAACCTGATAGGATTTTTCACAGTTTTAGCAACACGAACTTATTTTTATTGCCAGACTACAATAGTCTGGGAGAGAAGCTTTTTTTTTTTTTTTTTTTTTTTTTTTTTTTTTTTTTTTTAAGCTCTTTATGCTTTTCTTGGGGGATGGCAGTGAGTTCCCGACCTGTGTATCTCTTTGGCTTTGGAGGTGGAGAAGAGGACAAAGTTCTTTTCTGTAGCCTAGCACCCAACACTCTACCAGCACTCAGAGAATGTTGAATAAGTAGATCAATAGATGGGCGGTTGAAGAGACCACACTTAAGAACAATTCTTGATCCAGCGTGGGTAAAATTCTGAGCTTGTGATTATCAAAACCTGTCTGGCTTGATTTCAATGCCATGGGAGACTGACGGTGAAATATGACCCAAGGCTGGAGCTCAGTTTCTTCTTGACTATCTACCCTGGGGCTCTTCTGTAGAGCAGCACAGAATCCTTTCATAATCCTTCTCCATTACACAAAGGAATTGTCTTCAAGATGTGCTTTGTGCATTTTGAGGGTCTAGAACATTCTCTGTTGTAAGGAATCAAACCCTTTTAGGTAGCCCAGCAGCCACAGTATAATAACCCAGCAGTAAGACCAAGAATCACCCTCTTTCCTGGTCATTTTAAGAGAATCGCTATTGCTCTAACTAGTAAAGTTAAGCACCAATTCTTCCTCACAGTGACACCCTAGGTACCACCAACTCACATCCTCTGATAGATACACGCAGACATCAGACAGTGTGCTTTCATCTAACTGGGAAAATGAAAACTGGGGTTACACATCTCTTTCTCAAAATGAGCTCATTCTTGTGTATCCAATATTCTCAATGCCTGGAGGGGGGGCGGAAAAATATTTTTTGAGACAAGGTCTGTCTATGTAATCTTGGCTGGTATGGAACTCATTATGTAAATCAGGCTCTCTTTGAACTCAAAGAGATCCACCAGCCTCTGCTTCCTGAGTGCTGGGATAAAAGGTATGTACCACCATGCCTGGCTGAAAATATTATTTTGGTGACCTCTATACATCTTTATTACTATGCAAATCACTGCCTCAAACATCTTGGCATTATGCTGTTTATATGGTAATATCTTTGTTTTGAAAGGTCCTCTTTAAATGATAACCTAGGAGAATCTGAATGATGAGAAATCACATGACCCATGCCCACTACATATGTAAATACACAAAAATAAATAGCCAGAAGATGCAGCATTTGTAGGTTAGTAGGTAGATAGGAAAATGCCTCCACTGTTTCCTAGTATTAGAACTGAACACACTAGAGGACTTGATTCTAAAAAATAAAAACAAAAACAAAAAGGAAAGAGAAGGGAGTAAAGACAACTGCTGGACTTCAGTGTGCCGTAGAGGGTTGTGCTTAACTACTCCCCAAAACACTGGCCGACAGGGGCCATCTACATGCATCTCGATCTGACTTATCCCCAGCCAGCTTGGACCATACAGACAACCTCTCAGATGGAAGTAATTAATGAGTCAACTTAGATTGAGAAAAATCCAGTCCCCAGTTACAACCAACAGCTACCAAGCACCTTTGTCTAATGAAACATTTAAACACTCATAGATATGAGTGGCCAGATACACACTGAAGAGTCCTGTAGTCTCTCTCATGACTAGTGGTTAAAGCTTTTAAGAATTCCATGAAAGGAAGCAATCCAATATTTTATGACAAACACATCACCACTCTAAGTCTTCTTCCATCCTCGTATGCACTGTCCAAATACTCAAGGAAGGCCGACTGTTGGCATGGCCACTCCATCCACAGAAAATGTCACACACACACACACACACACACACACACACACACACACACACACACACGATTCAATTTGGAGTTAGATAAATGACAACGCTGCCTTCAGTTCTCCCTGGAAGTCAGAAGTGGTTTTGTCCTTGTCCCAAAGAGGTCGTGCACTTAAGATGACCACAGGTGACCATGGAGAAGCCGCCTCCCCTGGTACCACAGTGTGTTTTTTAGTAGCAGTATCAGCTCACCAGTGTTTTATCAACAAATGAAAGCTTCCCTTTCTGCCGTCACCAAAGCTTCCTCAAAAAGTACTTTAAAACCCTTCATTTCCTAAAAGCACTTATTATGGTCCAGGGCTAGAAGCCGAGTATTGTGGGAACAACAGGCTTCTTAAGGTAGCGGATTTGGTGAAAACCAAGAACCCTGCTGGCATGAACTTAAAGTTTTATTTCCTTTTTTCTTTTTCAAAAAAAAATTAAATTAAGGCTCAAATGTTTTGTTCAACTCTCATTGCTTATGTATATTATATTAAGGCTTATAAATATACCTGGTAAATTAAATTCACCCTGGATTGAATTAACACCTGCTATATGAGTTATTGGCTTTATTTAATCAGTAATCTCAGGGTTTCTCTGCTTTCTCTGGAAACACAATTTAAATATTAAGCTAATCTTTAAACTGCCGCTGCTGCGTCCTGACATTTGGAAACTGGTCAGCCGTGCAAAAAAGACAAATATGGACGTATTAATGAAAAGGCATTTCTTAAAAGTCTTAAAACATGTAACTCAATGAATTATAAAGAAAAATGACAAAGGCGGCAGGGAGGTCAAGCCTGTGTGACTTTCCAGGGAGCAAACAATGCTGGGCGTCTGCCAAGATCACCTCCACTCTCAGGACGACGGGCTCCTGTGCACTGCCAGGCTCAAGGGACTTGGTCATTTTTTCATTACAGACTTAGGAAAAAAATCTTGGGAAGCCATAACAGATATAAGACCTATCAGAGATGTTTGTTTTTTGAGACAGGGTCTCCTTGTATAACGCAGGCTGGCCTGGAACTCACAGCAATTCTCCTGCCTCAGCTTTCCTCAGCAGGGATTATAGACATGAACTACAATATGGAGCTCATATGAGAGGCATTTAATTTTTTCCCTTCTTTCTTTCCTTTCTTCTGTTCTTTCTTTTTTTAAGCAGTAAGGCCTAAATTCAGGGCCTGGGTGAGAAAGTGTGGTGTTCTTGGCTCTCTGGCTCCAATGGGGGAAGGGCACCTCAAGTCCTGCTGAGCTGACAGCCTCTGGAGAGAACGAAGTTTTCAAAGTGTTGGTCTTGGGTCCTTTCTTTGACCCTCTGTTCCTCCAGGGAGTCCACAAGCTTGTTTCTTTGCTCGATCACCTGCATCATCTCCTCGAATATTTCTTGCTCCTCCTTTAGATCACTCTCATCTTTCTGGCCCTCTAAAGAAAAGAAGAAGAAAGAAAAATCAGTGCTCGGGTAAGACTGGGGCCAGGGGAATTCTTAGCGTGGGAGTTCATAGTTGTTCTGGGCTCGTTATGTCCTATGATTACAAGGAAGTGAACTTAACACCAGGAACTGCCCTTAAAGCCACAGAGGAGAGAGGGAATGCTTTGTGCAGGAGTCAGCTTGGATTTCACATGTGTGCATTTGTGTGTGTGCCTGTGTGTGCACAGGTGCATGTGTGTGTGTGTTTGTGCATATGTGTGTTCACATATGTGTGCACATGTGTATGTGTGTGTTTTTGCATGTGTGTGTATATGAGTGTGTAGTGGGGAAGGGCACTTGAGAGAGAAGTTAATGCAGCCACACCCTGTCAAGCCTCAACCCTCCTTCCCCTCCTGATTCTCCTGACTCTATGTCCAAAGTCCTGGGATTATAGGCATGCACCACCATGGCATGTGTGTGGAGGTCTAAGGACAACTTTCAGGAGCTGGCTCTTGGGTTCCACCTTGTTCTAGGCAAGGTCCCTCTTGTTCTTTGCTGCTGGGATTACAGGCATGCACCACTATGGCTGCCTTGTATACCTTTCTTAACAATGTCATATAATGCAGCCCTATAGGGTTTCATAGACACAGAAATGGCTCAGCAGATAAAGGTACTTACTATCAAGTCCAATGACCTTAACTCAATTCCTAGGATGCACATAGTGGAAGGAGAGGACCAGCCCCCACAAACTGTCCTCTGACCTCCACATATGTGTTTTGGCATGTGTGTCCTCCCCCTACCCCACAGAGATAAATAAAAGTGTAGTTTTGTTTAAAAAAAGAAATACATAGTCTGAGCCAGGTATGGTGGGGCTTGCCTGTCATCCCAGTACTTGGGAGGCTGAGGAAGGCTGCAATTTAAGGCTAGCCTCAGCTACAGAGGGAGACCTTGAATTTGACACAGAGAGAGGGGGGGAGAGGGGAAGGGAGGAGGAGGAGGAGGAGGAGGAGGAGGAGGAGGAAGAGGAGGAGGAGGAGGAGACGAAGAAGAAGAAGACGAAGACGAAGACGAAGAAGAAGAAGAAGAAGAAGAAGAAGAAGAAGAAGAAGAAGAAGAAGAAGAAGAAGAAGAAGAAGAAGAAGAAGAAGAAGAAAGCTTGCAAATTGCTTCCATGGGTGGGAGATGAGTTTGTGATCTCCTACTAAATTGGAGCCCAGCTCTCACCTTGAGCTCACTATTTCTGTTCACTGTGACTTGGGCAGGGAATATTCTTATTACCATTTCTAGTGCCCAGCAGAGCCAGGCCTGGCTTCTCTGTGGCCCCCAATAACTTTTACAGTCCTCATGTATTGTGATGACTGATCTGGCTATTGGTCTCCCCATTGAGATCACAAACTCCCAGTGGGGAGGGGCTGGTCTTTGCCATGTGCTAAACCTGTTCTACCTCTTCAATAAATATTTGCTAAGTGAATGGATAACTAAGCAAATACATGGATACCATGGTGCTTGCCGGGCATGGTGGTGTACATGCCTGGAACCCTAGCACGTGAGAGGGTGAGCGGCATAGTTTTAATAGGAAAATCTCCCCTACAGGCTCATGAGTTTCAACACTTGGTTCCTACCTGGTGGCAGGAAGCAGAGATAGGCCAGGAAGCAGAACAAGACTATAAACCTCACCCTTCCCCTGACAGTGACCCAGTTCCTCCTGTGAGGCCCCACCTCCCGAAAGATCAGAAAACCTTCCAAAGCAATGCCACCACAGACCTGCCAGACACCATGCCTCCCAGCCATGGTGGCTGTGCCCCCTCAAACTGTGAGACAAAACAAACCTCTTCAGGGATTTGGTCACAGCCATGAGAAAAGTAGTGACTATACAGAGGCAGGAAGACTAGATGTTCAAGGCCAGCTTGGGCTACATAACAAGACTCCACCTTAATAAAAATACATTTAAAAATTAAATAAATTGCTTTATTTCTATCAACACATGGGATGAAGTAAATGTGGCCCTCACAACTGAGTGATACCAACTGGAGGCCCTCTGGGCTTCTGGGGAGGTCGAGGAACAGGCTGGCTTTGTGCTGTTTCTCTCTCAGGCTGGTGGGATGGGCTCTCCGCTCATATCTGTAGCATGCCTTGCTCAAATGTCCTGGGTGGTTTGGGTCTTCAGCAGGGGTCCCAGATGTGTACCATACTCACCATCCTTGAGCATTTTCTCCCGTAGTTTCTGCTCCAGTCTGCTCTGGTGATCTTCTAGCTCTAACTCTTGGGCCCTGAGTACAGGAAAATGTTATAGCCATTACTAGGGGAATATGTGGAAACATGAATGGAGACACCTATAGACGGTGGCCGGCACAGTCTTTTTCCCCATTAAAAATGGCATCTCCTAATATCTCTAAATAGGAGGCATTGCTACTGCTGGGACCACTAGAGATGCCTAGAAAGAGACTGAGATTACTGGATTTGAGAGATGAGGAGACAGCGGAGGGGATGATGATGAAGGCCACCAAGTTGTTCCTTAGGGTTTGCCTCTGTAGGGACCAGCAGAGCAGGGAGTGGAGCTGAGTCCTGGGGACTTGGCTTTGCAGAGCCTGGTGGTGTCCCAGGCATTCCTCACTGTGTGGCTCCCCAGATGCTTGCATTTTGGGGGGGACTTCCAAATGCCACTCTGGAGTTCATCAGAGAAATGAGGACCCAGACAGATGTGGTGATGTCAAGAGGAGATACGATCCTTAAGAAAGACTGCAGAGAAAGTAAAGGGGAGAGGGGAGAAGCACTGAATGGCCCCCAAGGATTGAAGGACACAGCAGGACGTGCACCCCCACAGAAACCGCAGGACAGGGGCTTAGGGCCACTGCTCCTGGGCCACAAAGAGTCCAAGGGTTGGGAATGGGCCCCTCTGTTCCTCCTGTTGGGACTTTCTCTTCTAGACCCGACCTGTAGTTGTTTGTGTACTTGTGACAGTGTGGGACCATTAGTTTTCGTATTTATTTTGCTTCTTTGTTTTGGAGATGGGGTTTCATGTAGAGCAGGCTGGCCTCAGACGTGCTGTGTCCCCTTGAACTCCTGCGCTTCTTGCCACCCCTCTACCCCTACACACAACGCTGGTATTACAGATGTGTGCCCCTACACCAGTAGTGCTGGGATCGAACCCAGGGCTTCCTGCATGCTGGGCAAGCACTCTACCAGCCAAGCTACATCCCCAGCCCTGCTTCTACTTTTACTTCTGAAGTTATTTGAGCTCAAGTCCTGCCTTATTACTGACAACTGGACCCTCTGCAGGGCTAGGAGGTGGGGGCAGCTCAGATCTCAGAGAGAATGGCTGGGAGAAGCTCAGTGACAAGGAGGCTGCTCTAGGATCACCTTCAATGTCATGTGGAAGCCCTGTTGTTCCTGGGGGACTCCCATCCAATGGCTGAACAGCATAGAGGTGTGAGAACTGGCAAGTCCTTCCCAACATGGAGACCTCTGATGGGCCATCTCCACTTGGATGTTTCTCTGCCTTGGCTGAGACTCAGAGCTATTCACATCCGGAACTCCTCTTGCCCAGGTCTCCTTCCTTCCTTCCTTCCTTCCTTCCTTCCTTCCTTCCTTCCTTCCTTCCTCTGTTTTTACAAGGAATCAGAACCACAGTAGGGCCCACGACTCTCCCCCGCCCTGTCTCCTTTCTCTTTATCCTTCACAGATGTCTTCCTCAAGGAATCTTACGCACCACTCATTCTGTCTTAACTTTGCTTTCCAAAGGGTCTGATCTGACACACAAATCTAAGACACGTCCCCTTGTTCATACAGGTCTTCCTCCAACCAAAACCTGCCCTCCAACATGCCTCTGCCCAGTGCACACACCCCGGTTGTCCTATTTGACCTCTATGGAAGAGAAAGTCCTTGGCCAGTGCTCTCTCTAGTGAAGCTGCTGGCTCTGGCCCGCAGCCACAGCTGGCCTCCCTCCTCCCCAAGACAGACTCTTGCATCCTTCACGAAACTCTTGACGGGCTTTCTTATTGACATGTGTTCACTTCTCTGCCCCGTGCCCACCCCACCCCCAATCTCCAAAGTGCTGGGATTCTAGGCTTGCACCACCATGCCTGGCTATGGCCTATGTCTACAGAAACCAACTGAGTTCCTGGTACAAAGAAGATGTTCTTGATACATTTCTGTTGGAAGGACTTTATAATTTAGAGCTAACTCCACTGCAGACCGGATGGCTGCATATAAGGCAGATATGACGCACATTACTTAATTCCTCTGAGGCTCATTATACTCATCAACTAAAAAAAAAAAGTCCAAAAGCAATGATTGCAAGAGAGGAGCCCCCTTTCCCCTATGCCTGGCATTCCCTTCCGTGTGGATGGAGAGCAGTGAGTGTAACTCCTGGTCGCCTTCTCCAACCCCTCCCATCCCCACTCTCAGGTAGATTTTGGAAAAATAGATGAGGCACACTCATCTCACTGTCCTTCTCTTCCAGGCTCATCTATCTTCAGCAAGTATGTGTTCTCAAGTACCCTAGGCCTTGCTATGGACCTTGGTAAGATGTCACAGTGCTGCTGGCTTCTTGTCGGTGGAAGGAGGGGCTGCCCTGTGTATCATAGGAAGAAAGCTTAGCATCCTTGGTCTGTAGTCCCTAGCCTTTGGTCACAACCCCATGTGTGACAACCAAACACATCTTCCTGGCCTTTGCTAAATAACCTCTGGGTACATCACCCCCTCTCCACCCTTGAGACACAAGGTCTAGGATGAAGCCTTTCCCCTAAGGATCAAGTAGGTTCACTTTCTTTTTTCATGAGGTAGAAATATCAAATTCTGAGATTTGGCTAGTGTAGTGGGTTGAGTAAGAAAGATGTGTCCACATCCTAAGCTCCGGAAATAGTGAATGTGATGATACTTTAGAAGGGGTCTTTGCAGACATGGTTAGGGACCTTAAGATGGCTACATTCTAGATTATATCAGTGAACCCTCAGCCCAGCGAGAAGACTTTCAAAGAGTCAGACAAGGAGGAGACACAGACACACAGAGAAGGCCGTATGACACAGCCACCACCACCAAATGCCCGGAGCCACAGGAAGTAGAAGAGGCAAGGAAGGAGTCCCCGTGAAGAGTGTCTGGGAGAATGAGGCTCCCTCGACACCTTCATGTGGACTTCTGGCTTCCAGACTGAGGGAAATGTTCCTTTTGTTATGAGTCATCTACTTGTTACTAATTTGTCGGGAGCTCTAAACTAGTTAGTAAGCCGGCCTGGGTTCTCATCCTCAGCCATTAGTCACTATCAATAATAAAGGTAATATTTGGATGGTTTACCTATTTCTCACCTGGTTTAGAACCTGGGCAGGGAAGAGTGGACCCCCTCTAAAGCTCTCCAGATGACCACTCAGGGTTGGAGTGAAAATTAAACCAACAGCATACGGAAAACCTTCAGCATAACTCTAGAGCTTAGTGGTTTACTCTCAATGCTATTTTCTCTCTCTCCAGAGTGCTGGCGGGTACAGCGTCCTTTGTTTCAGAATCGTGTGATGAACCAGAAGTCTTCATTTCAGCTGTCTGACCAGGTCATCAGCCCTTTCTCCAAGAAGACACACGGGCAGATCCCAGACAGCCAGTATCCAACCCTTCTTTCGTTAAAGCCACCAGGAAGTGGCCAGGCAGATTTCCCATGATTCACACACAGGCCAAGCATGGCCTCCCCACGGATGGTGTGAGACTGGGGCCAGGAATGGGCCGGCTGCCTTCCAGCTCCTGACCTGCTACTGAAATCTATTTTAACCACTGAACTCCGAAGAAAGAGCGGACCACTGAAGAGTCTTTCCACTAATGCCAGCATGATATGCAAGACACAAAGTCCCAATTTGCCTCAATCACTGTTCCGTATGCACAAAGAAGGAAAGCTCTGGGACTCCTGCCAAGGCCGGTGAGCCACCCGCTCCTGCCGCCAGGCTGTTAGCACTCAGTTATCTGTGTTGCCTTACTTACATGATCAGTAGCTCCGACTCATATCGCATTAATTTATTCTTCTCCAGAACCAGCTTAAACCATTCCTGCAAAAGCTGGGCTTCGTCCTGTGTCCCTGAATCTGCTTAAGAAATCAGTGGCAAATGGGTTAGATTGGCATTTCTCGCCCCATGATCAAACTGCTTCCGAGCCACTTTAGCGGGCCATGTTTGCGGCAAGCAGGGCTCGGCAGGAAGCAGCTCCTGGCACCCTGTGGATACCTCAAGGTCATGGGCATCACAAATGAAACCCACCTGTGCCTGCTCTGGGGGAGTCCTCCTGTGCATGGAGGACATGACTACTTCAATTCCAAGGTCACATGCCTGTGATGACTAATGTCCTACTACAAAGGACTCATCTCCTGCCTACTTGTGTGTCCATAAAACTGTTGTACGTTTCTGCATCCGAGAAGCCCTAGCTGCCTGCCAGTGACCTTTTCTCATCCCATCACCCCTCTGTAAATCAAACTCTCAGACAGAGTGCCCAGGTGGTGTGTGGTCCCTTCCCAGGGCAGGGATGCTCATAACACATTTGATCACAGGCAGGTGATTGAGATTTTGATTTTTTTTCCTGAAGAAAAGCCAAACGATGAAAAAAAAAATACAATTGGAATTGAGTCTCATGGGAGATAAATTTGTATTCCTATATTACTACAGCATAGGTACTCCCCTCTATTAAACAGAGGCATATTCGTGCACCATGTGCATGCCTGGTGCCCATGGAGGTCGGAAAAAGACAGCAGTTTCCCCAGCAACTGGTGTTACAGACAGTTGTGAGTTGCCATGCATGCTGGGGATCAAACCTGGGTCCTCTGGAAGAGTAGCCAGTGCTCTTAACCTTTGAGCCCTCTCTCCAACCCCTAATTCAAGATTGCAAAAGGCATTTTGTTCATTTGGTTTCTACCAAGTCAGGGATAAAGTGATATGTTGTAATCTATCTCAAGAAATTTGGAGAGTTCAGTGTACCTATTGAACTGTAGTGTCTAATAATCTTTGTGATCAGATTGACTCAAATCACAACAAAGTAACAAAGTAACCATCTGGAAATGCAGAGGAGACAGGGGTGGGGAGGTGGGGGGGGGGGAGCGACGGGACTCTGGCACCTTTGCCCCGTGATCTGGGGTTACAGACATCGGTACCAGCCCTGCCACTGGCCTTCATATTCACTCACAAGGAACTCTGGCTTTCCACCGTGGTGGTGGTGCAACGGTGCCCCATGTTTCGTTTAGGTGGTGAGTTCAAGACTTTGCATGTATCTCATTCAATACCATCTTGTTAAGCTGAGTGTGGAGGGGCACACCTGATATCCCAGCACTTGGGAGGCCGAGGCAGGAAGATTGCCATGAATTCAAAGCCAACCTGGACTACATAGTAAGTTCCAGGCCAGTCTAAACTATGTAGCAAGACCCTGTCTCAAAAAAACTAACAACTAACCAATTAACTATAAATGAATTAAATACCAACTTGTTTGCTTTTTCTGTTATAGGGAAATCTCTTGACTATTTTACCCAACTGACACATTTCTTTTTCCTTTTTAAAAAATGTCTCTGTGTGGGTGAGTACATGTGAGTGCGGTGTCCTTGGGGTCCAAAAGAGGAGTTCAGATTTCCTGTATTTGGAGTTATAAGTAGTTGTGAACTGCCTGATGTGGGTGTTGAGAACTGAGCTCCTGTCTTCTGCAAGCCCAGTAGGTACTATTAACCCTTCTGTGGGGCACCCACCCTCCCACACACAGACACACACAACACACACACCACACACACATACAACACACACACAACACACAAACACACACAACACACACATACAACACACACAACACACACACACTACACACACACACAACACACACATACAACACACACACACAACACACAAACACACACAACACACACATACAACACACACAACACACACATACAACACACACCCACACAACACACATACAAACACACACAACACACACAAACACACACATACAACACACACCCACACAACACATACTCACACACACACATACAACACATACCCACATAACACACACATTACACAACACACACCCACACAACACACACAGACACACACATACAACACACACCCACACAACACATACTCACACACATACAACACACACCCACATGACACACACATTACACAACACACACATAACGCAACACACCATACACCACACACAATACACATACACACACAACACACAACACAGACACACATATACCCACACAATTTAAAAATAGTAAATTCTTAAAAAAAAAATCTAAATTCAAATCTCTTCCGTTTTATCATCTATCCAGAGTCAACTTCTTCTAGATGTTTGTTTAATGTTTCTATATTAAGAACCGTTTTCCACGATAGAGAAAACAGAAAAGCTGCTAGTTGGAAATGCTGTCTTTCCTTATCGTCTAACGACACCATCTGCTATCAGCTCTGGGCTTCCCCTGCCTTGTCCCCAGTCCAAAAGAAACAGCTTTAAGGCACTATTTTGCTGTCTGTAGAGAAGCTTTTGCTTTTGTTTTTCAAATTCAGTCGCTCTGCTACACGGATCTGCACAGTCTAGTTAGGTTTGATCTATCCTTGCTTCTATCTTATGTGTCCTTCTGAAAATCTTGCTCATGATGGACTTCCCTATGTGTCACAGTGACTTCCCCTGACACACATGGAACAAACACAAGGTGAACTGAGCCACTTAATTCTCCTTTATCAGTAGAGTAATTGGTGATTTGATTGGCTTTGGCTCAGTTTTTTAAAGCCTTCTGTTCTTTAGTAGACAAAGTCCCTTTGGGGGGAATCTGTAGATACAGCTTCACATAAAGGTTTACAGGTGTTATAGTTTGAATATAAAATGTCCCTCATAGGCTCACGTAGTTGAACATGTGATCTTTAGCTGTTTGAGAGGTTGCAGAACCTTTAGGAAGTCAAGCCTCACTCGAGGAAGTGGGTCACTGGGGGGCAGGCCTTGAGGCTTTATAGCCTGGCTCCACTTCCTGTTCACTCTCTGCTTCCTGAATGCAGATGCAATGTGAGCAGCCAGGCTTGCTCCTGCCTCCAAGCCTTTACTGCCCTACCATCACCCCTTTCCCAACATGCTTTCCCCACCATGAGGCACTCTGAAAATATGAACCCTAAGTTTATTGTGTCAAGATATTTTATCACAGCAACAGAGCAGTAACTAAGATACCAGGGAGCCTGCCCTCTCAAAGTATCAGATCCACGTGGGTCTTGCTTCCTTAGTTACAACAGTGCACCGAAGTATTTGTCTACAATTTCCACTTACTGATTGGCCCCTATCACATTCTGCCCTCGTGGCTCCTGTGAAGTTTGGAAAGCATTGCCTCTCCCTGCAGGTATAGTAGAATGGACAGAGCGTGGGCTTCTGGGTCACTCAGGCCTGTGACATTCGAGTCAACTCATCTGTCTCTGCCTTGGTCTTCCCCGGGTTTAGAAATGAGGATGCTGCGGACAGTGCTACCTTAAGTTGGTTAGAGATGTTAAATGAAAGGCTACACGGGAAATGCTCAACACAGTGCTTTGTGCACAGTAACCCTTCTGTGCACTGTCCCCTTGCAATAGCCCTCAATCATTCTTCCCATGCCTAGTTTCGGAAGGGTTAGTTTCTAGTCATCTTTAAAACTCAGCTAGGTGGTAAAACAAAACAAAACAAACAACAACAACAAAAACCCTTTGTCTTCTAATAACTTGAAACCACCACCATACCTCACGAATACTCACCCCCCACTCATACAATGGAAATGCCAGCGGTGGAGTGGATAATCTACACAGATGTGAGTGTGTCGTGCCTACCCAGGCTCTTGGCTTCCTCTCCTCTCCCATTGTTCCAGTGCTGCTGTTACAGTCAAAGCCCTTCCTCCACAGGGCTGTGACTCCTCACCTAGGGCCAGGCTTCAGCTAGAGGGGTGTGTCCAGAAGGCAAGGTGTCTTCTGGCCACCATCAGGACAGTGTAGTTATCTAACCCTTCCTCCTAGCCTCTCTGCTTGGGTCTACTGCCAAGGCTCTTTGCTCCTGAACTCTTACGGCTCTTCTCAGACACAGTGGAAGGATTCCACTTGCCATGAGTGAAATCAACACTCAGTGTCTGGGCATGGTGGCACCCAAGCACTTGGGAGGTGGGAGCAAGATGATCAGGAGTTCAAGGCCAGTCCGGGGTACATGAGATTTTTGTCTCAAAAAACTAAGCGCGGGGCTGGAGAGATGGCTCAGAGGTTAAGAGCACTGACTGCTCTTCTAGAGGTCCTGAGTTCAATTCCCAGCAACCACATGGTGGCTCACAACCATCTGTAGTGAGATCTGGTGCCCTCTTCTGGCCTGCAGGGATACATGCAGGCAGAACATTGTATACACAATAAATAAATCTTTAAAAAAAAAAAAAACTAAGCACACACACACACACACACACACACACACACACACACACACACCTTAAAAAAAAAAAAAACCTGGCCAGCTGGTGAGATGGCACATGCCCCAAGCCTGACAACCTGAGTCTTTGATCCTAAGAATTCATATGGTAGGAGAGAACCGGCTTCTGCAAGTTGCCCTCTGTGTGCCATGACATGTGCACCCATGCACACACATGATATTTATACATCAATGTAATCCAAATTTTCAAAATCTACATTGAAATTATTTCCCTCCTCTTTTTCCTTCTCCTTCTCTCCCTCCTCCTTCTTTGTGAGACAGGCTCACCATGTAACCCAGGCTGGCCTTGAACTTCTCATCCTTTTGCCCCAGCCTCCTGAGAAGATTATAGGCATGAGCCACTAAGTTCGACTTCCCTCAAGATTCTTATATGGGCAAACATGTGAAATTCATGGACTGTACATGTCTGTGGAGAAGAGAGTTATAGATGAGTGTGAACGAATGGATGAGCCAATGAACGGCGCTAAGGAAAGATCGGCCCTCGCTGGGTTTCAGAAGGAGAGGGACTCAAAAGGAAAGAGAAGAATGCATCCCACTGACATTCTAAGATGTGACAGACCCATTTATCAAGTGCGTCACTAAAATGATCTCATTTATTCTGTGTGTGTGTGTGTGTGTCTGTGTGTGTGTGTGCATGTGTGACAGTCAGAGGGTGTGTGTGTATGTGTGTGTGTGTGTGTGTGTATGTGTGCATGTGTGATGGTCAGAGGTCAACACAAAGCGTCTTCTCACCTTTCCCACTTTCTTTTTAAGACAGGGTCTTTCACTGGGATGTGAGGCACACTGACACGGCTGAACTGACCGGTCAGCGAGCCCTGGGACCCTCTTGCCTCCACCTCCCCAGCACTGGGATGGGGCTGCCACACATACCAAGCTTTTTACCAAAGGTGTGGGGATTGAACTCTGGTCCTCAGGTTTGCGTGGCGAGCACTTTCCCGACTGAGCCATCCCCTTAACCCCCCGTTTTATCATTTACTCTTTCATCTCTCTCTACCATCCCTAGGAGGAAGGTTTATCAGTCCCATTTTACAGATGGGAAAATTTGACAGAGCAGGAACTGCAGAATGTTGGTGATGTAAGATTCATTCAAGAACACCTGACTCATTCCTGTGCTCTGTCCAGAATCCCTCACTGTCACATGAAGCAGGAAATTAGCATTCCCCTGGGTTCCTCAGCAACAGACAAGATGAAAACCACAGGGTAGCAGCCAAACTACTTCCTTTCTTCCTGGCTGGGCTGGCCATTAAGTCATTCTTAATGTATGTGCTGCTGCCCTCTGCTGGCAGCCTCCAGCATCTGCATGGTCTTCGCTGTCCAAACTGCTGGGCTCCATGGAAAGGAGGAAGCACAAGGTGGGCTTCTGGGCAGTCAGCTGAAGTGAGCAAGGCTACAAGGGAAGGACCTTGCTTGTCTACCTTCCCTGAGAATAAACCTTTCATCCTTTGAAGCTTTTCTTCTTTTGCCTTTGACTTCTTCTGTCTCCAGAGACGGAAAGAAAGCTCAGGACTCCACCAGACTACTTCATCTGCGTGGTAGTCTCTTGCCGGGGCATACTGTGATCCTAGCATTTAACATGATGCAATCCTAGCAATGTCTAGTGTCTCAACTAGACAAGTCCAAGCAACTGACAGAGCCAGGTCTGGCTATTTCATGGAGGATGGTGGGACTCAGGGGGTCCAGGTCACTGAGTATCCTGCTCCATTGGTGACTTAGGCACAGGGGACCACAGGGATTCTCTGCTGCCTTTGCCAAAGATACCCACCACATGCACAGACATCCTGTGTGTCTTGGTTTGTCATTTGGGGTTGATGGTTAGCTCTCTGCTTTACTTTGTTTCCTTTTCCTGAACAAATTGGGGGGGACCCCATGCTGGGGTGTGGTGGGGGAACTCATTTCTGACTGTTGGAAAAAAAAAATTAAAAGAAAGCCGGAATTGTTGTTGGGACAATGAAGAGCTCATTTTACTCAGACATCAGGGCTCTCGGGCTGCACCCTCCACCCTGCACCCCTGCACAGTCCTCTAATTCAATGGGCCTAATGAATAACTCCCAGGCACAAAAGACCCTTTCAGGCTGTCCCCAGTCATTATAGAGGGGCCTCGCCTAACTGCCTCAGCCCACTCCTTGTTTTCAGGCTTGCCTCTAAATTTGGTTATTCACAACCTTGATAGCTCAATATTATTGCCTAACTGTGATCATTGTCTAATTATCCTAATAATACCTATTAAATAATTCTCATTAAATCACTTGAATGGGAGCAGCAGAGGCCAGCTCAAATACAACTTAACCCAATAAGCATTGGTCATTCGCTGAGCAGCAGGCAATCTCTTCAAGGGACTCCATAGACTATCGAACCACAGGGAAATATGGCCATTGCGCCAATGCGCATGTCTTCCCTTTGATGGCCTGGCTTGCGGATCCACTTGGTTTCCTCTGAGACCGCTCTCTGTGACTTGACTCTTTTTTGTCCCTAGCCCCTCACTGATTTCCATCTGTCATCCTCACAAGAATATCAAAGGAGAAAAGGCCTAGGAACCTAACAGGGTAATTAGTTTACTGAGAATAGAAAGGGAATGAACAGAATCCATCTTTTGGCTGGCCTGACTCACCTTTGATAACACCGATAGCTGGCCACATTTCTTTAGGTATGGCTCAAAATGGCTTCCTTCTCCTTACCGTTGGAGACTGGGGGAGATGTTCAGAACAAGCTTTAAACATTTGGGGTCTATAATTGAAGTTTCTAGCAGGAAAGCTTGCAGAGGTAGGTATTTTCTTTAAATCATCTTGTGTAGATTGGAGTGTTTTGTAGAATATGGGTAGTGTTTGTTGACTGTCTCTGTGTAGGAGAGACTTGGGTAGATGGCACTTGAATTCTCAAAATGGCCTAGTACTGTGGGGTTAGCTCACTTTTCAGCTAAGGAATCTGAGTGATTTTCCTAGGACTATGCCCCTCCAAAATAGGTGATATGTTTTTGTTTGTTTGCAGCGCTGGGTCTCAAACCCATGACCTCATGAAGCGTACTAGGCAAGTGCTACAACCAGCTGAGCCATATCCCGTCACTGCTCACTCTGCATGCTGGGAAACAAATTTAAATACAGAGTTCCTGTATATGTGAGGGGATAAAGGTGAGTGTGTGTGTGTGTGTGTGTGTGTGTGTGTGTGTGTGTGTGCACATGTGTGCGTGCGTGCATGCATGTGTGTGTATGTATGTGTGTGTGTGTGCTTGTGTACCTGTGTGCTCACGCATGTCAAGGTCAGAAGTTGATGGTGTATCTCTTCCTCAGTCACTTTCCACTTTATTTTTTGAGATAAGATCTCTCACTGAACCTTAGAGCTTTTTTTTGAAAAGCTAGACTGGTTGGCTAGTCAGTCCCTGGCATCATCCTGTCTCAGCCTCTCCAGAATTAGGATTATAGATATGTGCTGCTATGCCCAGATTTTTCACATGGGTGCTGGGGATTTGAACTCTGGTCCTCACACTTGCACAGCATGCACTTTACCCATTAGGCCACCCCTAGAAACCAGGATTTGAACTTGGGGCTTTCCCTCTTAATCAATATTGCTTGAACATTAGAATATTCCTCCTGGATTCTTCTTAACTTCTGAATTTCAAAGATTATTCACACAGAGAGAAAGCTACAGAGGATGTCCACAGGAATTTCAGATCAAACCAGCAGCTTCATGTTTAAAGTGTGGGCATGAGGCCGGAGAGCTGACTCATCAGTTAAGAGCACTTGCTGCTCCTCCAGAGGACAAGGGTTCGATTCCCAGCATCCACAGGGCAGCTAACAGCTATCTGTAGTTCCAGTTTCAGGGACTCTGAGGCCCTCTTCTGGCCTCTTGTGGACATTGCACTCAATGGTGCACAGACAAGTACACAGGTAAAACGCACATAAAATAAAAGTAAATACATTTAAAAAAAAGCATAAGGCAGTGGACTTAGTCTGTGTTGACCTGTGCCCTGAGGTGATGAGTGCTCTTTGTCCTCCCCGCCCTGCAAGGCCAATGCCACTCTCAGACTCCGGACCCAGACCTCCACCCTCAGCTGCTGACCTGCCCTCTGTACCTGCTTCTCCTCTCAGAACCTTCTCCAGCTTCACGCCCCGGATCTCTGAGGTCCTCTGCTGCTCTTCCACCTCCTCTAGCTGTCTCTGGATGGCCTGCAAGACCGAGAGGGCATGCCATTGGAGGGCTCTGTATATGTGCAAGCACAAGAGGGGCCGAGCCTGCTCCTAGCGGTCACCATTTCATTGCCCCAGTTCACTCAGCAGAGACGGTGAAGTTCCCCAGCTCTGGACCTTGGTACTTTAGTCCTTAGGATGAGCCACAGAGCACAGCATCTGTACATGTGTAGGTGACATCCACATAAGAGTCAAAACCCGCCTCTGACAAGGCCCATCACACTGGAGTCCTGGGAGAGAGGCTCCTGGGCTGGCCAGGGGATCCTCATGAGTCCTGGACTGTGACCATGGGCTCAATGACCAGGGCTGTCTCTCAGCACAGGCTAGGGGTGTTTAGATTCTGTTTTGCAGGAGTGAGCAGCTGGCACCTCCTGAGAGGGAGACCTGGGCCTGCCCATGGGGACCGGTGTTCCTTTTTGAGACATCCTGCATCCCACCTTAGTGACAAATGGCTCCAGTCCTGCACCACTGCTTCAGGCCCAAGGTGCTGCCATGGCAGAAGAGCCTGTGGATCTGTTGTTATCCAGTTATGAAGGGGAACACCAGGTGCTGAACCCGTAAGGTCCACCACTCACACTCCATGGACCCCCTAAGCACTTGCTCAGTTTGGAGTTATGCTTGGGTTTGAGTGGGCACGTTTACTTTCCCTGCAAGCTGTTACTCTCCTGGAGTCTCTTAGGAAGGAGAGTTGAGCAAGGTTTTTGTTTTTGTTTTTGTTTTTTTTTCCTAAGTTTTGTTCATCTCCATCAACTTTCCCTGATGTCAAGCACTGGGGAACCGGGAGGCAGGACAGTCCTTACACACTGTTGAACAGGAACAGTAAAGAACCGTGAACCATCTTGGCAGGTGGCCATCTGTCTGCTCCCCTCTCCCCATCACACCCATCCTTCTAAATCTCCCCTGGAATCACAGGTGCAATGGTCAAGGCATCCCCAGCACCAAGAGACCCAAACAGGGGCATGAGCAGTCACCTGCTCTTCTTGAGTATTCAAGCCAACAACATAAATTAGATGGGAATTCTGCTGCTAACTGCTTGCAATTTCATGCCCTCTGCTCTGCTGCTTTTGAAAGAGGCTTGTGTCCTTGATAAAGCCATCTATCTGTTCTTGCAGGTAAGGCCCAGGACTGCTAAGGAAGGGGGGCAGTTAGGTGACTTTATAACTGATGGTTGTGTGGTTACAGCTCTGAAGTTGTTCTGGAATAAAATGAATTGCCCCTAAATTCATAGGTTGGGACCCTAACTCCCAGGGTGACTGTATTAGAGACAAGGTGTTTTAGGAGACCACTGTTTTAGATGCAGCCCTGATCTAACAGGCCTCCTACCTGTATGAGTAGAGGAAGCTCTTCCTCCCCCGCCTCCCCCTCCCCTCCCCTCACACTTCAAAAAGACCCTGTGAGGATGCAGTGGGCAGGTGCTGTCTCTCAGCCAGGAACAGAGGCCTTGGCGGACTTTCAGTCTGACCCGCCTTGATCTTGGTTCTTCAGCCTCCAGAAAAGAAATATCTGTTGTTTGAGTCACCCAGGCTGTGGTCTGTGGCTGTGGAAGCCCGAGCAGGTAAACAACGTGCTCATTCACCAAAGGGCCACTTCCCAGCCAAGGGTGCCACCATAGGCAGTGAAACTTTTAGAAGGTAGGCCTCCCAGAAAGAAGCTATGTCACCGTGAGTGTGCCCTTGAAGGGCGTGTGAGGAACTCTTCTCTCTCTCACTGTCTCTGCTTCTGGAGCCGTGAAGTAAACAGTTGCCTCCTCTCTCTACACTCCCTGCCATGATATGCTGCCTCTCCACAGGGCCAAAGCAACGGGGCCAACTGACCATGGATTAGCATGACTGACCCTATAAATCCAAACAAACCTTTCCTTTTCTAAAGTTAATTGTCTTGGGCATTTTGTTACAGTAGCAGAGAGCTGACTAGTGCACAAGACTACATGGCCATATAAAGGATTCAGTGGTGAAAGTAATAGAATGATATGTGCATTAACGGGTATGATTGTTCTAAGTTCTTACACACTAAAGTCCAACTGTTCTTCAAGACTAGGCTTGGAGAGGGACAATGTTTATGCTACCTGCTTCCTTTTGTTCTTCTGTGACAGAGACAGATCAGCTTGGGCACCAATGCTTGGAGTAAACCATCAGTTAGGAAGTGTGAGGTACTTATACTTTCAACTAATCCTAACATGGAGTCAGACCCCAGTAGCTAACAGTGTAGTAAAGATTCAGTCAAGGAGTTGCTGGATGACTTCTGCCCTTACTGAGGACATAGCCAAGGTCACTGCTTTGGGGGAGTAAGGGCTTATAATGGCCAAGGCCACAAGCCAGCCTCATTTTGCAGGACACAAACCTGAGCCTGGAAAGGTGACTGGGTTGGGAATAGTTCAACCTCCCGAGCTCCTCACTCCAGAGTCCTACTTGGGATTGGGCCAAGACTTTCAGAATGGCCTGGTTCTGGTCCATCTCCCCAAGTACAGATTGACTCCCGAAGGATTTCCCACCCATGCCCTGGGCACACCCTTCACATGTTTGCTTCCTGACCTGAGCCTTATGGAGTCTTTTCAATTCTTCTTGCTTAACCAACTGCTTCTCCAGCTTCCTTCTTCTTCTGGGTATCTTCTCCTATACAAACCCATGGAGAAGAAAAGCCAAGACTAAGAAAAGGGGTTAAAGTTTACAAAACCTCACCATCGCCTTCTGCCCTCTCCATGCATGGCTCCAAGCCACTGCTGGGCTTCCAGCATTATGATATCCAACAGAACTTTCTACAATGATGACAATGACCTCTATTTGTACTATGTGAAATATGAATGCCACTATCCACATGTGGCACGGGAATTGAGCTGTGAATAAAAAAATTGAAGTTAAAATTTCATTTAACTTCATCATCATCAGCAGCAGCAGCAGCAGTATTATCCTTATTATTTTGAGACAGGGTCTCACGGTATAGCTCTGACTGGCCTAGAACTTGCTACATGGACCAGGATGTCTTTGAACTCACAGAGATCCACCTGCCTTTGCCTTCCAAGTGCTCCATCTCAGGGATGGAATTTCTTCTTCTAGAATTTGTAGAATCCTAAAGATCTTTGGGAGGAAATCTTGGCTTTTACATCTCAGCCCAGACCCATCATTGTTCCTGGAGATAACCCCCAGGTAGACTGCTCCGGTTCTGGATTTAGCATGAGGACCCTCTGATAATCAGTGAGAGGTGCATCCTGCCTGGAGATGATCTCACTCAGCTCACACGGAGACCTGGTTTGTTTATTTCATAAGCATCTCAGGAGCACCCATCACATGAACCCACATTGTAAATCCTGGCATCTTTAGAGTGTTGTGTGCCAGACAATGAACTAATTACTTCCTGGTGTCTCCTCTGTTTCCCAGGTTGTATGTCTCTACAAACACGGATAACATAATTCAGAAAGACAACCTGCCCAAATTGACACAATTAGTAATGGCATACAGGCGAACATCTTCAGTACACTTAGTTTCCCATAGGCAATACTGCCTTTCCTTTTGCCAGGCACTAGATGATCAAGGACCCCTGCTCTGGGGTAGGACCTATAGCAGTGCCACTTTCCTCTAAATGGAGACAAGTGAGTCCAGATTCTGTGTTCTGGTTAGGTTTTTTTTTTTTTTTTTTTTTTTGGTCAACTTGACACAAGCTGGGTCATCTGGGAAGAAGAGATCTCAATTGAGCAAATGCCTCCCTCAGATGCCCTGCACATAAGTCTGTAGAGCATTTTCTTGATTGATGATTTGCTGTGGGATGTTCTGTATGGCAAATGTGTTGCTGATTAGTCAATAAATAAAACACTGATTGGCCATTGGCTAGGCAGGAAGTGTAGGCGGGACAAGGAGGAGAATAAAGCTGGGAAGTGGAAGGCTGAGTCAGAGAGACACTGCCAGCCGCCATGATGAGAAACAGCATGTGAAGGTGCCGGTAAGCCACGAGCCATGTGGCAAGGTATAGATTAATGGAAATGGATTAATTTAAGCTGTAAGAACAGTTAGCAAGAAGCCTGCCATGGCCATACAGTTTGTAACCAATACAAGTCTCTGTGTTTACTTGGTTGGGTCTGAGTGGCTGTGGGACTGGCAGGTGAGAGAGATTTATCCTGACTGTGGGCCAGGCAGGAAAACTCTAGCTAAAAATGGCGTCCAACGTGGTGGCAAGAGTTTCCACCTAAAACCTGAGAAAAGATTCTAAAATGGAGCTAAAAACAGCTTCCTAATTGTCTCTCTCAAATGAGCGGCAGCTGCCGGTTTGAGCTACTTGTGGGTTTCTGTTGTGCGTGCTCGACCTGCAGTTTGGCGGGAATGAGGCCTCTGCAAGTGGCACATTAAGCTGCATGGTGGATTTAGCCTTTGCAGGTACAAAACAAAAAGAGAGGTTTCTGGACTACAGGCTGTTTGGATAAATGCATAGACCCACGATAGCTCCCACGTAGCCATGTTGGGAAGCTGAGGTGGGCGGAGTCAGCAGCCACAGCTGCTGCAGTTTATTGCAATAGATACACAATAAGACAGATTCAGATGTAATAGTTTACAATGTGTGTAAAATATACGTAGGCTTGAAAGAGACTAAAAAGGTGATATATGGTGATATATACAGTTATATAAACAAATACATAGTTTTAAAAAATAAAGTCTTTAAAGAGACAGTAAAATTAATATAAAAAAATAAGCCACGTAAAGATGAATATTACACAGAGAATCTGGATTGTGTTGTCTTTGGGATTTTTAACTGCAGAAAAACATTTGATTGTAAAAGCTGTTGAGTTATGCCAAAATGTGTGTTTTAAAGGTACCTTGACTTCAAAATTTGGATATAAGGATATGTTGCTTTGGAAAGGAGACTCTGCTTCTGTTCCCACAGAAAGCCAGAGGCTATGGATTTGTTCAAGATTAAGATACATCAGGTTTGACCTGCAAAATGAGGCTGGCTTGTGGCCTTGGCCATTATAAGCCCTTACTCCCCCAAAGCAGTGACACTAGCCATGTGCTAGGCCAGCAAGATGACAAGGAGCTGGTTGTGAGGTTTATCTGGGATATTATGGTCTTGCTACTTCTACATGCCAGTGCTAACCTATTCTTTCTCCATGAGTGTTAAGAAGATGGAGTTTGGGATCTGTCTCATTTGAGTGGAGAGTTAACTTAGGGCCATTTGAGGGGATGAGGGGCAATAAGGAACCCCCAGAAATCAATGTAACATAATTCACATACAATTAACTTCTGGTGAGGATTAAAGTTAACTTGAGAAGCTCACAATTTAAAAAAGAAAATTTCCTACCCCACCCCCACTGTGTGTGCACCCCCCCCCACACTGTTTATGTGTGCTTACACATGCCTGTGTGTGTGAGCACTCGCTTGCCCTAGGGAGTTGGAATCCCCCTTTGTGACTTGAACTGAAGCCAAAGCTTCCCTTGCTAGATATGGAAAAGTTGAGTGTGAGTGAATAAATTTGGTTCTCTTCTTCCTTCCACTACATCTTCTCAGCTGCAACAATATAAACAGTACCAGAGCAGTGCATGGATCCTCTGCCTACCCCAGAGGCATGTGAGGACCAGCCGTTCAGCATTCCACCCCCTTGAGTCCTAGGGGATAGGCTTCAGTCCCAAGCTTCGAGGAAACAGCAGTGAGGTTGGGTGGCCAACATTTGTCTCTGTGTATGTGATCTATAGACACATCTACAGACATGCCACACTGTGTTTTCTCTGCATTCGTAGGAGAGATCTGGAAAGGGCTCTCTGGACACTAACATCCACTAAGAAGGGGGCTGGTTGCCTTCCCAGCGGCATGCAGGTTGTACCTCTGACAGTAAGTGTCTGGGTGCATCTGCGTCTCTGCACACCTGCAGGGTTTGTTTCATAGCTCTGATTAGAATAAACATAACATTTTCTGTGCAATCTGCCTCTAGTGCTTCTTAAATGAAGTTGTGCTTCCCTTGGGGAAATACACATCTGCTTGTTGAAATTTTTCAATGGTTTGCTTATTGGACCACATATTAAACCCACTTTAAGAACCGCACTCGCCAAATGGTTTCAAGTCAGTACGTCTTCTTTTCTCCTTTCTCCATTTGAGACGCTGAGGTTTTCTTTTTTCTTTCCTTTTTTTTTTAAAGAAGACAGATTGGGGTGTTCCAGATAAAAAGAAGGGTGGTTTTCCGTTGCAATGTGGCCTGACCCTCATGAGCATCCTTGCAGCTGGAGCCCACATTGGCTCTGAAACCTGGATGGGAAATGAGCCCCAGTCAGCCAAGGCATTGTATGCTGTTCTAAGTGATGTTACCTTTGACCTGGAGGAAAGCCTGGAGTCAAAGTCTTCATCTGCAGAGGAGGAGGTGGCTGAAGAGGGAGAAGAGATGGCCTCTGTCACTGTCGTGCCTGAAACAAGAACCAGAGAACTCACCAAACCGCGGGGGCTTCTTTTCCTGCTCCGTGCCTCACAGCTGCCTCCCTCCCCCCTCACCCCGTTTGCTTCCTCCTGCCCACCCCTCACTGCACCTGCCAGAAGCTTGGGAAAGCAGTACCTCAGGGCCACTGAAAAGTTGGCCCTCCACGTTAATTACATTTCTGGACCCCTGCCAAGAGCTCTGCCGCTCTCTTCTCACATTCAAAACAAAACAAAACAAAACAAGGTATTATGCAGAAATCAAGGAAGTCCTTAAACACCCTTTACAGGGCAGGGTCCTTGCTTACAACGCTTTTGGATCAAAAATCTATTATGAAAATGCATATCTGAAGTTAGCTGAGTTACCTAAACGCTTGGGTAAGGTTCGTTCTACAGAGTAATTGAATGCAAAGAAAAAAAAAAAAGTCAGAGCCAGCTCTTAAACAAATCGCCCTTCTGCGGCTCGCAGCATCTGGCACCCATTTTTACTACACGACATCTGCTCAGTGTAAAAGAGCTGGCGTCAGAATGTCTGGTCATAGAAAAAAAAATCCCAAATGTAATCAGAAGCAAAAGGACTCTAAGCCTAAGGATTTTATCACATAGCCTCATGCAACATAAATATTTCATTAATTATGGCTAAACAAATGCCACTTTTATTTTCCCAACTTGCAGATATTATCACATCATGGAAGGGATGATTCAAATGCCAGGAAAAAAGCAGTTTAAAATAGGGATGGCCCAACAAAGCAGGGCCCACGGGGAAGCTAAAGCTGAGGGGCATGCCAGACTCCAAACATGAACTGGATGGCTGAGGACTGTAATGTGCCCATGTTGACCAAACACCTTTTTGTGATTTGGCTGGGGACCAGGTGTGACGGGGCTTCCAGGTGCTACAGGAGACTTTCATTTTTCCCAGCTAAAACATCTGCCCTTGCACGTACACCTGATGAAGTCTGTGCCAATACCAGGATTAACCCATGCTGGTCACTGCACTGCAGAACCTACTAGAATTCAGTGATGGCAAACGGACTCTACAGTGGCAGCTTGTGTCTGCAGAGAACGATGGAGTGGGTGGAGAGAAAGGAGGGAAGCAATTCCAAGTCAGCTAACATCCTCTCCAGCCTCCCTATAATTTTCAACTATTCACCCCAGTGGGAGCAGCCAAGTGTTACAAAATAAGGGTAATTTTAACCTCCAGCAACACATTTACATACACTCTTATTCAGAGCAAAATAATACAAAACATGCATATAACAACCCAGCCTCTCTGGGGAGGGAGTTTGCTGTTTTCCACTTTAATTTGCCAGATGGGAAAGCTCAGGTAAAGATAGAATCAGAGAGTGGCATCGTCATAGGAGGAGGCTGTGTTCTCTTTGGGCAGAGACTGCATCCTGCTTCAGCCACTAAATTACCACCGAGGGATCGAGTCACTGAGTGCTGAGGATAGAAGCTGGAGGGACCGACTTTATACCCTTGAGTTCTACTGTCATGATTCCTACGTGCAGAATCGCTGGGATGAGCAAACAAAGTCCCTGGCAGTATCTGGTATACGAGAAGTAGCTATTGGGAATGTTTAGACTTGTTTTATTTACTGCTTTTCTCATTGCTGTGACCAAACATGTGATATGGAGCAACTTGAGGGCTGGGGATGCAGCTCAGCTGATACATCACTTGTTTAGCATGCAGGAGGCTCTGGGTTAGATTCCCAGCACTGCACTTGGGAGATGGAGGCAGGAGGACCAGAAGTTCAAGGCCATCTTCGGCTACATAGGGAGTTTGAAGCCAGTCTGAGCTAGAGACTGTCTCAAAAAGAGGTGAATTGAGAGAAGGGGGGTTTATTTTGGCTCACAATTTGAGGACACAGTCCATCATGGAAGGAAGGTGTGGAGGCCGAAGACTGCTCACTCACCTCTGAGTAGTGGGGAGCAGAGGGAGATGAATGCTGCCATGCATTCCTCTTTATTCCCTTTGCAGTCAGTCTGCTAGTCCAGCCCATGACTAGTGCTCTCCACACTCAGGATAGGTCTTCACTCCTGTTACCCCTCCCTAAAAACATCCTTGCAGAGGACCCAAAGGGGCGTCTCCTGGGTGGTTCCACACCCAGTCAAGTTGACAACGATCATTAACATCACAACTGTCTTCACCATCTTCCTTGTTATCATTGACCCAATTAACAAGGCTTTTCATGTTACTAAAACTGCCTAGTGGACCTTTATTTATGGGAGAAGTATAGCTATAAAGCTGAAACTTTTCTAATTTCAAAAAGTCACTGTTTTGGTAGCATTTCATTTGGAAACAGGAATGAAATGGCTCCTAAGCATATGCACCTCCTTAGGTAAGAAGGGCGATTAGCAGTTTAATGCCACTGAGTCTCTCTGCTCTTCAGTAGAGTACCAACAATACTGAAGGTCATTTTTCATTTGCAATTTTTAAGAACCTTGCAGCATTGCCCGACTACACTATGTTAGACTGACTGACTTTGGACCTGGCTTTCCACCAGGAAGCAGTAGAATTCAGGACACAGTATATGAAGCATCTTTTTCCAGATATTAGCCAACAGGCAGTACAGAAAAGATATAAAAGACAAGAGCCCATATGGAAAGTTCTATGGCCATAGATGCTTCTGCCCTGAGGTCCTTCGCCGACCACAGTGCAGGCAGGAAAAACCCAAACAGGGCAAAATGGGTTCACTGAGTTGAAAGGCAGTTCAGAGTTTGGCCAGGCAGAGGCAGCAGTAATGTGTAGGATGGAGCCCTGGAGAGGAGGGACTGCTGGGAAAAAAGAATGTTAGAAACCAGCATAGAAGTCCATGTGCATCCACTGCTTAACAGGAATCCAAAGCTACATCAAAAGAAACTACCTGGTTGGGCATATAACTGCGGAGAAGTCGCAGGCTCAACAGTCTCTACAGCAGTGGTTCTCAACCTTCCTGATACTGTGACCCTTCAATGCAGTTCCTCATGTTGTAGTGACCCCAACCATAAAATTATTTTCATTGCTACTTTATAACTGTAATTTTACTACTGTTATTAATCGTAATGTAATATTTTGGGAGCTAGAGGTTTGTCAAAGGGGTCGTGACCCACAGGTTGAGAACCACTGCTCTAAAGCTTTCCTAGGTGGGAGATGCTTGTCCCTAGTCTGAGTAGCACAGACACCTGGGGCATTATTGAGATCACAGGAAACTTTTACTTTATGAACAGGTATAGATTAGTGAAGAGTAATGCTTATCATAGACACACCTAACAAGGGTAAAGACAAGCCTTGGAAGGAATAGAGTTAGACTACTGCTTATTAAACATTCTTTATTCCCCACTTAACATTAAAAAAATAAAATCCAATCACTAATAAAATAAAGTCCAATCACTTCTCAGCATAATACTCATAAACTCTATCAGTTGGTAAACAATGACTAGGTGTACACACACACACACACACACACACACACACACACACACACACACATTTAATAAGCAAGAGAAAAATCCATCAATAAAAACAGACCCAGAAATGACAGGTACAGTGAAATTAACAGGCAAGTATTTAAAGTTATCATAAATGTGCTCAAGAAGTTTAAAAGTATGTTACCAAAATAACCTTGAGAACTGATAAATTTAGTAGTGATATATAAAATTAACATTACTATGGTTAGCTCTTTCCCCCCCTCTTCCTCCTGTTCCCTTCTCTCCCCTCCTCTTCTCTTCCTCCTCACCTTCCTCCCTCCTTCCTTCCTTTTGGCTTGGTGCTGAGATTTAAACCCAGGGAATTCTATATGCTAAGTTTGAGTTCTATGGCAAAGCCACACCTTCAGCTCCAGCCAGCAGCATTTCTATCTACTTACATGCAGCTATATAAAATGAAATCACAGAAACCCACACAAGTGGAGAGTCTAATAAAATGCTGGTCACTATAACTAATAGGTGGAGGTGGGGGCTGGGGAGATGTTCAAAGGATATGAAATTTCAGTTCAACAGGACCAAGATTAAGAGATCTATTCTATAGCATGGTGACGGCTAGTGTTGGAATGTAAAATGTCGGCCATAGGCCCCTGTGTTTGAACAGTTGATTGGAAGGTGCTTCAGAACCTCTAGGAGGTGGAGCCTACTTGGATGAAGAAAGCCAATGGGGGATGGGCTTTGAATGCTACTGTGCACTGTTTCTGGCTCAGTTTCTCTGCTTCTTGACTGTTGATATGATGAAAACGTCAGCCTCTGCCCCCACCACCTGGATAACTGGTCTGACAACCGTGTGTTCCCTGCCATGAGACCGCTCAGTGAGTAAAGCAGACATGAGGACCGCAGTTTGTATCCCCAGAACTCACATAAAGCCAGATGTACACATCTGCAATGCCAGTGCTCCCATTGTGAGACGGGAGGCAGAAACAAGGGAATCCTGGGAGGCTTGAAGACCAGCTAGTCTGGAGTATACACACCCGAACAACTGCAAAACAGAGATCCTGGGGCTGGAGGGATGACTCGGCAGTTAAGAGCACAAGCTGATATTGCAAAGGACTTGGGTTTCATTCCCAGCACCCACATGGCAGCACGTAACTGTCTATAATTCCAGTTCCAGAGAATCTGACACCCTCTTTGGGTACTGTATGCGCTTGGTCCACAGACATACATGCAAGCAAAGCACTCACACATATCAAATAAAATTAAAATCTCAAAAAAGTGACCCTGTCTTAAACAAGGTAGAATGTGGGCACTCACAGGTCTGTATTCACACACATACTCATACATACAGCTCGTGTGCGCACACACACACACACACACACACACACACACACAGAGTTAAATAAATTAAAAGTGAAGAAATATATATACATATATATACATGTATATATATTTCTGTCCTCTTTTAGTAATTGATAAAATAACCAAACCAATGTAAGAGTTCTTACTATGAGCATCATTGAATAACTGAAACACACTTCGAATTATGGACACTTTACTCGACAACAAAATCCCATAGAAGAAAAACAACTTCCTCACCCACTCCATTGTGTATAGATACTACATTTTCTTTATTTATTCATCTGTTTTCTGTTGTTGAGTTTTGTGTATATCTGTGTGTGTATATATCTATATACATATATATTCTGTATATAGATATATACACTTTGTGTGTGTGTGTATATATATATATATATGTATGTACACATACCCACACCCACATATATGTGTCTGTGTATACATAATACACACACACACACACACACACACACATACACACACACATACACACACCATTGGTTTGGTTTTGAGACAGGGTCTCAGTGTAGCCCAAGTTGGCCTCAACCTTTCAGTTCTCCTGCCCTAGTGCGAAGACTGCAGACATATGTCACCACACCAGGATCTCTCCTTCTGTAGATGGGCACTTAGGCTGACTCTATAACTTGGCTGTTCTGAATAGTATGCAGTGTGCATGGGTGTGCTGACTTTGATTTTTTCAGGTGTATAAGTAGGTGTGGTACACCTGGATGTTATGGCAGCTCCAGTTCCATTGTTCAAGGGACCTTAATATCAAGTTTTATAGTAGCTGAACTAATTTATATTCCTGTAAATAGTACAGAAGGGTCTCTCATGCTTGTTCTAACTCCATCCTCATTGGCTCGCATTTGTAGTTTCCTTGGTGACCTTGATGACAACCCTTCTGACTACTGTAAGATGGACTCTTAGAGCAGTTTTGATTTGCATTTCCCTGATGGCTAAATATGTTGAACATTTTCATGCATATATTGGACATTTATCCTTCTACTATCCAGTTTATTTGCCCATTTATTGGTTAGATTATTTGTTGTTTGAGTATTTAATTTTTTGAGTTCTTAATGAGTTTGCATATGAATCTCTAATCAGATAAGTGGTTGGCAAAGATTTTCTCCAGCTCTTTAGAATGCCTTTTCACTCTGTTAACAGTGCTTTTTGCTATGCAGAAGCTTTCTAATCAGATGGATAAATTCATATTTATGCCAATGGATTAAGTTTCCAGCTATTTTTTCTTTGTTATCTTTTTTAGATTAAGTCTTACTATGTAGCCCAGGCTGGCCTCAAACTCATACTCTTTTGGCTTTAGACTTACGAGTATTGGGATTACAGGCAATGCACTATCACACCCAGCTACATGCTTTTTAGTTTTAAAGGAGATAAATGTACTATCTATTAAACATCTACTTCATGGGTCAGGAGAGATAGCCTGGGTAGGAACATTTGTTGCTCTTGCAGAGGATTCAGGTTTGACTGCAAGCACCCACACAACAGCTCACAACCATCTGTAATTCCAGTCCTAGGAGACCAAATACCATCTTCTGGCCTCCACTGGCACCAGGCATGCACATGGTACACAGATCTACATGTAGGCAAAACCTGCATATGCATAAAAAGTGAATAAATCTAAAAAATTAAATATATATATATATAATAAATGAAATTTTATGGTGTGTGATTTTAAAAGAATCCTTACATCTCAACTTACCTATGCTTATTCCAAACTTGGCTGTTAAGAAGTTCTCTTGTTAATCTATACAGATATTTGATTAGGGTGCAAAGAAGATAAATAATTAATTTCTTGAAAACTGATTTCCCTTAAAAATTAAAAAAAAATTAAAAGGTAAAAATGTAAAGAAAAACAGAATTTTTGAAAACTGGAAGTATTAGGATCACGATTTGTTTAATGAGGTCAAACGAACATTCAGCAACGAAAGAAATCCTTGTCTGGGGAGACAGCTCAGTGGTAAGAACGCTGCTTGCTGTGCAAATGTAAGGAGGACTTGAGTTCAGATTCTCCCGTAAAAAGCTGTGTGTGACTGCACCCACTCCTACAATCCGGCATTGTAGGGGAATGGACACGGGGATCATGGGGGCTTTCATGCTACCCGCAGAATTCCAGGCTCTGTGAAAGACACTGTCTTGAAGGAATAAGAAGTCAGGGAGTAATTGACCAGGACACCTAGCAACCTCTTCTAGCCTAGAGTGCACACACATGCATGTACACATTTACACATTTGCATACATACCACACACTCACATACCCACCTTAAAAAAAAAAGACATCAGATATGTGTTTAAATCATCCTTAAAGAAATACACTAAATGTTTGGCAAGGTGCAGAAACAACAATGTGCTCTGCTTTTTCCTATGTATTTCCGTACTGTTTGATTACTCTGACTCTGTGATATATTAATTAAATAATGAACAACAACCAGATTTAAATATAAAAAGTCTCTATTTTCATTGGTAATCAAACATACAGAAAAGTGGTTAGTAATTCAAGGGAAACAAAAAGGTACATTTGTAAAAACGTCCAACCAGCACCATCCATACATTATAAATACATTCACCTACAAGTATGTGTGTGTATATAAATATATTACATATATCCTTATAAGTTAAACAATCAAATAATGGCTCATTAAATGACAATATTGCCACAAGAAAGAACATTCTTTTAAATCACATTTATATAGATTCTGTGATTATTTGTATAATACCTAGAATATAAAGTTGATTTTTAAAATATGCAATTGTATGTACATCGAAGTAAAAATGTTCACATAGTCACAGAGAAAAGAAAAGTGGTAGGATTATTGTTAATTTAACTTATTTTATAACATAATTTCAAGGGTTTTTTTTTTTTTTTTTTTTTTTTTTAGGATTTCTCTTACAAAATTTTCAAGTTTCTTTCATTTTTCCCCCCCAATTATATTCATTTCTTTGTGTATTGAGAGAGGGAGGGAGGTGCCCATGAGGAGGCCACAAGACAACTTGGGAGAGTGGGGCCTGGGGATGGAACTCAGGTTATCAGGCCTGGCAGAGAGAGCCTTTAAGACCAGCTGAGCCATCACATCAGTCCCGACTTTTCCCACTTTCGTCAGAATGAGCTGGAGAAGTAAATCAAAATGCACAGTGCCTGTTTGTGAATCCAGGGAGGCCGCTAACTGCTCAGCATGAACTCTAGACTAGACTACTAAGACAGCCACTTACGTGTATCTTGCCCTGTAGAAGAAGGATGCGCCACCTGCCCCCGGGAGGTGCTGCCAAAAGGCTGTGCTGGCTTCTCCAAGGATGGGACTCTGTTCCTGGGTGGCCCCTTCTCCTTGGGGCTGTTAAAGAAGTCCCCAATATCCTTTCTCTGTTTGCATTCCTGGAGAAAACTCTCAAAGGATTTATCTTTGAGGCCAAGGGAGGGAACACACAAGGCTCTTTTCTTTGGAACTTGAGTGGCATCCTGTAAACTCACTTTCTCCAGGAGGGTAGGGACATCTTCAATCTTGCTGCGGGGTGGTGGGGATGTGGCTGCAGAGAACATCTTGGATGGACGACTGGGCAGACTCCGGGTGCGGAGGATAGGGTCAGGAAGGCTAAGGTCTGAGGCCTGGGCAGTCTTAGAAGTTGGAGAAGCCAGAGAGAAGAAGGCTGAAGCCTTCTTGGCCATGTGTCTCCCTGGAGACTGCTGGTCCCCATCTTTAATGGAACTGGGTTTCCGAAAACTAAAGGAGCGTGTGAAGGTATGTGGCTGGCCCCGAGGCAATGTTTTTGACTCCGGTTTAGGGCAGGTTTTCTTTCCACCTTCCGAATTGGGGAGCAGAGACTTTAGGATGGCATTTGCTATGAACCTCAGGGGAGACTTGGGTGGAGGCACTTCTCGTTCCCGGGGCGCCTTGACAGTTGGGGGACGCATCTCCTCTGGGATGCCTGTCTGGGATATTAGTTTCTCTTTCACTGCCTGAGGGAGGGTAGAGGATTTCAGGGTCCGGCCTCTGCCATTCTCAGCTCTTTCCTGGGAGAGTCGCTCCCCAGCCTTGTGCTCAGGGGTAGAATCACTCCAGTCTAGCAACATGGTTTTCTGCTCCTGTGTGAGGACTAATTTCTTCAAACCCAACTTCCTTTCTTCAGACAGCTCTGGGCCACCTGTCTGTCCCCTCCTGGGTCTCTCCTTCAGTTCTCTTGGGTTCCCTGCAGCCCCAAGAGCTAGGTTTTGATGGGACAAAAGCTGGTCCTCCCCTGCAACGGGGTGGGAATCTTTGTACATGCTTTTGGTGCTCCCAAGAGGAGCCCGTGCTTCCCTGCAGTCCTCTGAAGCCATTTGCACAGGGCTGCTGAGGTCTTCTCCACTGGGGCTCCCCAGGCCTGTGCTCTCCAGCATGGGGCCATGAGGCAGATAGAGAGGCACTTCCTTCAAGATCCCTTGAGCCCTGGCACGTCTCAGGTAGAGTGGAATAGGGCTTAAATCACCTCTGGAGACTGGCAGGGAGTGGAGGCTGTAAGCTGGCACCTACAGGGGATGGGCAGAAATACCAGTTATTAAAGCTCCCAGTGTTTATTTCTATGGGGAAGGTGAGTGTCCATGCATGCATCACTTTCTCCCTTTCTCCTGCTCTTAGATACTCAAAGTCAGAGGAGGTTTCAGAAAGCTCCTTCTTTGTTCCAAGTGGCCATTAGGAATTTGCTGTCACCTACCTACAGTCCCCAAATATGCTCTAATCAAAGACCATTAAAGGCTCTAGAATAAGTGGAGAAAAAGCCAGATGGGAAAGCCTAGGCATGGCTGCTGCTCTTGACAAGCTCCTGAGCAGTAAATATAGGTAGGGTGGGGTGGGTTCCTCATGGTTTGTTCAAATACTGCCTTTACTAAAGGGGACCTTCTTCCCATAGGTATACTTTGCTGACATCCAAGAAGTCAGTTTCTCCAACCCATGGTTCGTGGGCTGTCTAGGTAAGGAGTTACAGTTCTTCTTCTTAGCTGAAGTATTGGTAGTGAAGCCTTTGGGACTTTCTGAGACGCTTTCTAAATGTCACACTTCGCACCATTGTAGAACCAATGTTTCAAGCATGTGGGAACTTGGAAGAACTTGAGTGGACTCTACAAAGAGTGGCAATGTCCTGCCAAGACTCCTGGCGCCCGAGGGGCAGGCCACAGGTCAGAGGGCCTCAAAAGAGTACACACTTTTTTTCTGTCTTGAAGACTCCACAGAGTCTAGCACAGTCCTAGCAGGTTACAGAGACTGCAGGATGCACATGAAAAGAAAGAATCCAGCCATCCATTGCCGTGGTGATGCTTTCTATTCTAGACAGATACTGCTCTCAAGGTCCTTGGATGCTACTGAGAACCACCCTTATTTCTGGGCCTATCACCCTTTGGCTGTTCTTCCCTGGGTGAACTTCCTCAGGGGCATATGCACTACGCCCATCTCCCACACAATGCTGAAGGGGGTGACTTTGTTCATGAGAGTGGCCCAGGAGGGGCAAAATGAGTTTTTATGAAAGACACATGTAAAGAGTATCCAGAGGCCCACAGCAGAGCCTGTCTCTGCCCTGGCTTTGCACGTGAAAGGGACCTGTGAGCACTTAGAATCCAGAATTAAGTATGGCGGTAGTGAGGAGCGTGGAAAGTTGGCATTCCCATGGTTTGTGCAGAGCTCTTGAGAGCACTTACCCGAGGAGGGGAGAAATTCTCTGAAGTGTGCCCAGGTACACTGGCTGAGGAAAAGGAAGATGGCAGAGAAGATGAAGAAGATAAAGATGGAGGAGGAGGAGGCTCCTTTGGAGGCGATGGTGCTCTTTTGTTCATGGGTGTTGAATCTACGAAGGAAACAACACACCCCATAGTTGCCTTGTTTTTAGCACAAAAAAGAGAAGACCGTGGGTGGATCTTCAGTTTAGGAAGGAAGATGCTGGGGATGGACACCGAGGTAGGGCCCTAGTGCCCACAGCTTGGGACTTGGCAGCAGGGTTCTGGAGGAGAAGTCATGGGAGTCAGTGTTTCCGACTTCCATAAGATTGCTCCTGGGAGATGTGAGCCCAACCCACAGAGTGCTTTTTGGAGACGGACATTTACTGCTAACGTTTCCCTGAAGTCATGGTGGTCAGGAGCTGGGATTGCACTAAATCTCTCTGTCAATAAACCATCTGAGGTTTCTTTCCACAAGATGTCAGACCATTAGTTGTGGGCACGGACAGGATAGATGCTTAGTCCTAATGAAATGGGTTCTCCCTCTCCTGTGTGTGCCGCTGAGGGGCTCTCAGACAAGGTGGTTAGCTTGAGATCTTCTGGGAACCCAAGGGAGGGAGGTTACACCCATATCAATGGTTCGAATCACACAGAATTAATGGGTCCTTGCCAAACTTCTGTGGCTCAGGGAACAGACAGGAAGCAGTGTGTCTGTTCAGAGATGCATGAGAAAGGAGTGAGCTGGCCTCTGGGGAGGAGGAGCCCAGTTCTGAACTGTGGGCAGCTGAAATCATCTGGTCCCGCAAGAGCAGGATTCTAACAGTGCAGCCTGGGAAGTCATTCAGACCCTTGTTTTGCTGACACTTCCTGTCCCTCGTCACTTCTTCCCCTCCAACTTGGTAACCTTCAGTCTGCAATGTCAAGTATTTTATCTCCAGACGGGAGCATTTCAGATAACTTGTACACATCTTTCATGGGCATGCTCTGTGCTCTGGACTTTTAGTATGCTTTTTGCTCTCCTCACACAAAGGCAAACATGTTAGGCAGTACAGGCCATGCCAGGCATAGGCTCTGAAAAGATGACTCTGTGCACGTGTGGTCCATGAGCTTCTACAGGGTACCCTCCCCGCTTGCCTCATGGTGTTTCTGAGGGAGAAGGTAACTGCAGGAAAACAGCCGCTGTGAAGGTGGGCAAGGAGGAGATCCTGGAATAAAGGCTATCAGGGGCTGCCAGGAGCTGAGCAGGGGAGCACTGGCCTCCATCCCATCACCCGCAAGCCCAGCTCAGCCCACAACATGACCGATCGAGCCTAAAAAGGCAAACCTTAGGAGTCAGTTGCTGTCTTGCTTCCTGCCCCCAGCTGCTAAATTCCTGCCAAATTCCTTCTCCCCCTCTTCTTCGCCCCCTCACTCTCTTCTCCCTGCCATCCTCTGAATCAGACTCCTTAAGTAGCCTCAAAAGTCCCTTCAGCTCCACAGACTGTCCCTTTGTTCCTCTGAGGAGTCACAGGGGACCTTGCGACACGGGACCAGGGATACCTTGTGATACAAGCTAGACAGAAAAGTCTTGGGATCTACAAGGTTGTGACCCAGAAGTTGTCTCCTTCTTCTTTCTCTGATCCCAGCCCCATCCTTGTGGTGGAGTCTCTGGCTACAAGGTCCTTATGTATTCTGTCTTAAAGACAGAACTTGTGGAAGGCTTGAGAAATGAGGACATGGAGGTCCAGTCTCTCCTTTGTCCTTGGGCCAAGTCCTTGCCCAAGGGCCAGGCCTGACTCCAGGAAGGGAAAGAAAGGCCAGCCAGGGGCTGAGAGATGGGAAATCTCTCCTGTGAGATGAGTAACGTCTTCTAGCTCCTCTGAAAGATGATAAACTGGGGACCTCAGGACATTTACAGCTGTTCACATTTACAACTGATGTGAGCAAGTTGCTTACCTCCAGAGTCCTCATCCAAAAAGTCCACATTACCATGCGGACAAATGCTAGCTTAGCACAAATCAGGCTCACTTCCCTCCTCTTGCACACAAGCCATCACAGAGATACCGAGACCTGCCGTCGGTTTCAGAGGGAATGAGACACCCAGACCAGCCAGGCTTTCTCTAACTCTTGGCCTAGGAATTCATTCTTCGTCTACTTAGATCCTCCTCTCCAGTGCATGCCCAGGCACTCTTGGATGGCCCAGCCAGGCTACTTTGTCCTCTGTAGGGCACAGGATCTGAGTGCTGCTGGTTCTCGGGTTCTTTGGATCAAAGGGGTTGATAAGCAGACCTGGGCCAGCATTACAGCCTCTGTACCCATTGGTGAAATTCCTTGTGCTACCTCCTCTTGGCTTTGCTGGCAGTGGTGGCCTTTCCCCTGATGGTGGAGGTCACACTAAGCATGTTCAGCTTGGAAAGGATGCCTGTGTCCTATCTCCTATTAACTGACAAACCTTCTTTGGGGGCATAGGGGTTCTTGATTTTGGGGATTGTCATGAGGATTGGGATTCCTGGTGCCCCTGCTTTCCAGAATTTGGAGGCTATGAAGGATTCAGTCTTCTCAAAGTCTTGGAGTGCCCTCTAGGGGCAGAAGCTTGCAAGTCTGAACCCATACGCTGTTTCATTGTGCCTAATCCAACCAACTTTCCAGCTCCCTTCCTTCCTTCTTTCCTTCCTTCCTTCCTCCCTCTCTCCTACTCAAAAACAAGAACTCCTTTGGACCAGACATTGCTAGGCCATAGAAACAACAGGGTCAAGCCCTGCTCACACCCAGCGTCACTGTATACTTAAGACCCACACCCTATATTCATTAATAACTGAACACTGAAGTCTCTGGGTCCGTCCCCAAACCCCACCTCTGAGTAACAGAATTGTCTTGTTTTCTAGAATCCCTGGCCCTGCTGTTTGCCAGTCTCCTATCTCACTCCATGCTGGGAGCTTGCTGAGGACAGACTGAGCTCCCTGACACTGGTGATACTCAGAAATGTTGGGATAGCCTCAACACCCAGGAGGACCGGCCTGAGAGCAGGATCCTAGTGCTTCTGAACCTCTAGGCACAGGGTGAGAAGACTCCTCTGCTCTCACATCCACCACCCGGGGGAGCTCAGATGAGTCAGCTGTCATTTCAGCTTATCCCAGATATGCAGATCTGGTCTAGCTCCAAAGGTGGCCCCTGTCCTAGGGAGACACAATGAGAGGCGATGAGTCTGGGGGTTGGTGGGAATCAGGCTGACTCAGAAAGAGGGAGAGTTAGGGCCTCTGCCCAAGGCCTCCCTGGGGTCAGCCTTGGGCAGAATGAGGCTGGAGGGGAACATGGATACAAAGGAGCCAGGAGGGGGGGATGGGCTCACAGCAGGATGGAGCCCCAGCTTCTCACTCAAGGGTTCTGGGGGAGAATTCTGGTGCTGTGTGACTATGTGTGCATGGTCAGTATAGCTCTTGTGGGAGCCCTGGAACTCACCAGGGGCCAAGATCTGCTTAGAAGAAACAAACTCCTCTCTCTCTCTCTCTCTCTCTCTCTCTCTCTCTCTCTCTCTCTCTCTGTGTGTGTGTGTGTGTGTGTGTGTGTGTGTGTGTGTGTGTGTGTGTGTGCATATTTGCGAGTGTTTACACTCATGTTCTAGTGCAAGCTGCTACCTTCATGCCTTGGCCACAATGACATGGAGCCAAAAGGGGATCTAGTCCAGTTCCTGGGACAGAACCAAGCGCCTGGCTCTCAGTCTCTCCTCCTCTTCCTCATTTCAAACTTGGAGCTCATGGCTGAGAGGGCTCTGTTCTGGTGAAAGTATAGACACTGGGATTTCAGAGTGGAGAGAGAGGCCTGGGGAGGGCCCAGATCCCTTGGCAAATGCTTCTAGTTAGCAGTCAAGCTAATGGTTTTTCTAGCCCTCATATCCCAGGCTATGCCAGAGAAGATACCATGTAAGGAATGAGAGCAGCGCCTCCCCATCCCTGGACCCCCCTTCCCCCCACCGCCCCCCTTCATGACTCACTGGACGGGAATTTTCTTCTCCAGTTCTGGTATTTGCTTGGAGCTGGAGACTGGAGGCTGTGGGTCCTTTGCAGAGCTGTGGTGGAAAACAGAAAGGGGCAGGGAAAATGGAGCGAGTAGAGTCTGTTAGTGTGCAGAAGAATTTGTCTCCTGTGGCGTTCTCACCAAAAGTTAGCAGGCAAACACTTAGGACGGACAGACACTTCCTCTTAACACACTGTACTTCTCTGACCCCATCCTACTTTCCCTCCCTCCCCCTCCCTCCCTCCTCCCTCCCTCCCTCCCTCCTTCATTCTTCATCAGATAATTATACAGGAAGCTGGGCAGATGGTTCAGGAGATAACCTGAGTTTGATCCCTGAAACCCAAATAAAAATCTGGGAGCAGGAGAGATGGTCCTCCACAGGGAAGAGCACATCGATTGGTTGTCCAGTGCTAAATGGTCAGCCCTGAAAACATGCATACAAGTGACATTATATAATATATATATATATATATATATATATTACATAAACTCAGTAGGTTATATTTATGAATATATGTGTACGTACAAATACTTCTATGCATGCTAAAACAATTAATGGAAGAAGAGGCCATGAATTTGAAGGAGGGCGGGGAAGGGTATATAGAAGAGTTTGGAGGGAGGAAAGGGAGCAGGAAGGGAGAAATGTAATTAAATTACAATCTCAAAAAAACCCCAAAAACCCCAATCTGCCATAGAGGCGTACATCTATTGTAGCACCCCACAGTGAGATGGTGGCAGACAGAGACTCGGTGGAATGCTCACAGCCCAGCTGGTCTGCAGTATACTGTATGGAAACAATACGAGAAACCCTGTCTCAATAGAGTAGCAGGTGAGAACTCCTGAAAGTTGGGTTCCCAATGGAAGCATGTTTGGAGGACCCCGTGTGTTTCTCCTCTGCCTGGCAGGGCCTGGAGCACAGGCACTGGCCGTTCTGAATCTGAGAACAGGCGTGGGATCCAAATGCTTCCTGTTCCCACACTGAACTCTAATGCTCAGGCCCCTGTGTTTCCTTCAGAGAGAAAGGAGGGGCGTGCGTGCACATCTGAGGGGCAGAAGATGGAATTAGGAGGGGAAAAAAAAAGACACCCATGGGAGGGTGTGGGAGAAGGGGTGGAGAAGGTTTGAACATAGAGCTCTCTGAATCCAAGACCTGACCAGTGAGTGCTCTCTCATCTCACCCAGACATTTCACCCCTGCCCTATGAGCTGACCCTCAGCACTGCCATGCAGCCACTACCTCGGGTTTCCTTTCTCAGGACAAGATCCTTCAGCTCCTTAGGGTCTCTGAGTTACACTGTGGGATGGTGGAACTGATGGCCCAGAGGCACCACTGGTAGAAATAGGGCACTCAGGCACAATTTTACCACGGCAGGAACAATAGTGAGGTCACAATATAACTGGAGTCCTAGGTCAGAGGCCTGACTCCCCAGCTGATGGTTGGAGTGAGAAAAGTCCCCACAGGCTCAGGTTTGTGAACACCTGCTCCCTGGCTAGTGACCCTGGAGGAGGTGTGTCGTTGAGAGGGTGGGCTTTGGGAATACGTAGCCTCACTCTACTTTTGGTCTACTTTCTGCTTCGTGTTTGCCATTGAAGACGTGAGTTCTCAGCGTCTCGCTCCGGCCACCGTTCCTGACGCATGCTGCCATGCCTCCCTGCCGTGCTGGACTCTCATCCCTCCAGAACCGTAAGCCCAAATAAACCCTTCCTTCTCTAAGTTGTCCTGGCCATGGTGGTTTACCTCACATAGGTTCCCACACGTCAAGCTTGCCCCAGAGAAAATGAGCAGAAATCACTGTGGAAATGCAGGGAAGGGTTTTAAACAGCATCCTTAAGGAGCAGAAAGTGAGCGTTTGAGCCCATCTGTGGGGCACTGGCATGAGCTCTGGGCTTATAGGCCAAGAACTGGGTCAGGAGGCAAGAGGTCAAAGTTGAGGTGTGGTCTGGTTAATCAGTGCTCTGTTCTGGCTGTGCACAGTGAGGAGAAGCAGTCCTTTTGATGATCTCGGCTTGGGGGTGGGGGCGGGGGGGGGGGACTTGTATAATCTCATCACGGGATGACCCGCTTGCCAGGCTCTGCTGGTCTGTTTTCTAAGAGGTGACGGTAGGTTTAGGGCAATGACTGAAAATTTTCGGGGCCTGGAACAGGATATTATAATGGCTAAAAGTAAATCCAGCATTGCTCTGATCTGTGTGCCTTCATGAAGCCATGGGGGACGGGGTAAGGTAGGGCAGGTGTCACTTGGCGTGACACAGCCACTCCTGGAGTGATTAACATGCAGTGGTCTGGCCCAAAGTTTGGACAGAGACAGATGCAAACTCGAATAGAAAAGCCAGATGTTTACCTTGCTCTGTATTACCCCACGGGCCCAAGTGAGGAGCAGTGTTTTTTTTCTTTTACTGTTGAGATTATAATTACATCATTTTTCCTTTCCCTCCGGGCCCTCCCATATACCTCTCCTTCCTCGCTTTCTAATTCATGGCCTTTTCCTTCATTATTGTTGTTGCATGCATATATGTATGTGTATATGCATATACTCCTAACTATAACCGGCTCTGTCTGTGTATTGTTACCCGGATGTGTGTTTTCAGGGCTGACCATTCGGTATTGGACCACCAGGTCATGTGTTCTTCCGGGGGGGAGGGCTGCCCCTCCCACTCTCGGCATTCCTTAGTTGACTACAGTTCTTTGTGTAAGGCTGAGGCCACACAGGCTTGCTCCTGTCCACTCTGGCACGTCTGGTGTTGTCCTTGTTCAGCTCATGTTTATTCAGTCACGTTGGTGAGACTTTAGGGGTGTAGCATCTGTCATGACCAGGAGACAATCTCACAGCAAACTCCCCAGTCCGCTGGCTCTTTCAATCTTTTTGCCCCCCTCTGGAGCTATCACTTTTTAGCAAAAGAAACTCGCTCTCCCTCTCCTCTCCTCTCCTCTCCTCTCTCTTTTCGTTCCTTTCCTTTGTGTTTTGAAGCGGTCTGATTGTGCAGCACTGACCGGCCTGGATCTTGCTGTGCTTACCAGGCTGAGCTCAGGTTAGCAATGACCCCCCTCTCCCTCTGCTTTCCGAGTGCTGGGATTACGGGTGTGCACATTCACATCTTTCCCGAGTGCTGGGATTATGGGTGTGCACACTCACATCTTTCCCGAGTGCTGGGATTACGGGTGTGCACACTCACATCTTTCCCGAGTGCTGGGATTACTGGTGTGCACACTCACATCTTTCCCGAGTGCTGGGATTACAAATGTGCACACTCGAATCTGGAAAAGAAATTTATAGCCAGGCGGTGGTGGCACATGCCTTTAATCCCACCACTCGGGAAGCAGAGGCAGGCAGATCTTTGTGAGTTCGAGGCCAGCCTGGTCTACAGAGCGAGATCCAGGAAAGCTGCAAAGCTACACAGAGAAACCCTGTCTCAAAAAGCAAACAAACAAAAAACAAAAAGAAAGAAAGAAACGTGTAAGCCGCCTTTCCAGCCATGATTTACCTAGCAGTGTCCAACACAGCTTGTGCTCTGTGTACCAATCAACTTTGTATAAAGTTGGTGTTTTTTTTTTAAATGTGTATGACTGTTTGCCTGCATGTATGTCTGTGTACCATGTGCATGCCTGGTGCCCTCAGAGGCCAGAAGAGTATGTCAGATTCCCTGGAGCTGGAGTTACAGGCAGTCATGAGCCAGTATGTGGGTACTGGGAACCGAACTTGGGTCCTCTGCAAGGGTAACAAGGGCTCTTCTGAGTCACCTCTCCAGCCCCACTTTGTATTAATTTTAAAGGAGTGCTTTTGGAACTCACAGCACACAGCCTGTTTGGGAAAAGGAGTAGAGGGCAAGCATTTAGCCAGATGCTTTTGATCTGGTTTTATTGTTACACACTAGCCAGTGTTCTCCTGTCCTATAGCTGCCTCAAATGACTGCTGACAGATGGAGAATACCAACTTGTTTAGGCTGGAACAACTTGGGGACAGGTTGCCCTCTTAAACCATATTAGTTTCTGTCCATGAACTTGATGAATTAGATAGCTCCGCTTAGTTGCTTCGGGCATGCACCACAGCTACTTCATTGAGGCATGCCGGGAAGCTGCCCTGCTGTGATGTCTAAAGCACAGGCATGCTGACCTGCATCCAGGCGTTTGGGATTCTTTTACCAAATACAGACACTCAATTTGGCTTTAGGCCCACTGAGCCTGGCTCTCCGGTGTTGGGGATCTGGGACTATGCCTTTTACTCAGGATTTATGTGAACCACTGAATGGGGTTCTTAAGCTTTGGATTTTAAGTGTCCCCAAAGGGCTACTGTGTTAAAAGCTTGGTCCTTAGCCTGTGGTGCTGGGGGAAGTGGTGGAAGCTTTAGGAGTTGGGTCTAGTGGAAGGAAATTAGGTCACTGGGCTTGTGGCCTTGAAGGATTACAAGGACCCTTGCTCCTGCCTGGTTTTTCACTTCTGAGATTCTACCAGGCGAGCAGTTTTCTTCTTTGGAATATGCTGCCCCACCAAAGGCCCAAAGGCGGCCGGGCCAAGAGCCACAGCAAGCCAGAGTCTATCTCAGGCATTTTCTCACTGCAGTGGAAAGCTGAGTAAGACACAGATCGTTTAAATGAGTGTTTTCTAGAGTTTCCATAACACAAGGGTTTACGTTGCTTCACACCCTCATCTTGGGAAGGTTCTATGTTGAAGAACTTGGAGGGTCTGGAAGGTTGCTTGGCATGCTAAGGCAGTCCTGGCAACCTCTTGCTAAGTGGTGCACTTAGCACTAACAGAAAAAGGACCATTCAAGCCATTGTCCTTTTACATTTACTCTTTTGTTGTAAGAGGATAAAACCGGAGACAACCAAATAGAAATGATGTCGAGAGAGAGAGAGAAAGAGAGAGGGGGGGGGTTTGTCTCCCCTGGAGCTGTTGTGGATAGTACTGCTGTGGTCATGACTGTACAGACCAGGAGTCTTGAAAACAGTATCCGTCTTTTACTCAGCCTCCTCTGAAACCACCAGGAGGCAGTGATGTAGGTGAGCACTGTGGCTGGTGAACCTCCATGAGATCCACTATTGGGGTTTGTCCTGTGCTATTTGGGAAAGTGATGGGCTTACTTCATCACCATGATGCATGGCAGTGCAAACTGTCTAAAGGAGGAGAGATTAGGCTTCGGGGTTTTAGAGGGGTCACTCCATAGTCAGCTGGGTCCATTGCTATAGGCCTCTGGGGAGGCAGAGCATCATATAGTGGAGCGAACTGTCCCACTGGGAAGCAGAGAGTGGGAGGAAGAATCTGGGGATAGGATGTGCCTTTGAAAGGCAACACCCACAGTGACTTACTTCTTCCAACTAGACCCCACACTCTCTTGTGGCCTCATTGATGAGTTAATCCACTGAAGTTAGCACCATTCATTATCTAATTAACTGTCAATAGCTGGGACCAAGTCTTCAACAATGAGTATTTGGCAGGGGTTGGAGGGCAGATAGGGGAGAGATATGTCATATCTAAGTTGCAACATCTATGTAAGAAATGTCGCACTTGCACTGGGGCTTGTCTGTCAATCATCATCATGACTGCTGAAGACTGAGTCAAGAAAGGATTGGAAATCATGCGGTCTACCCATTTTTCTATCTGCTCAGTGATTCACTGTAGAGTAAAGTTGGGCTTTATTGTAAAGTATATTACAGAATATTTTACTGTACACTCAAGTTCTCTAGTTTCTGAGGGCCAACCCATGCTTCAGGTCTTGGTATGCCCTTCCCTGTCAGCACAGGGTACCTAAAAAAACAGACATAGGCAGCCATTGTTAAGGACATGACCTAGGACATCTCTCGACATCATTTATTTGACAGAAGCCAGAAGCTTTCTGTAGAGTTAAGCATTATGCTGGTTAGGTTTTTGCAAACTTGACAGGAACCTAGACATATCTGGGAAGAGGGAATCCCTCCTCCTGCAGGCACGTCTGTGGAGGTATTTCCTTAACTGCTAATGATGTAGGAGGGCCCAGCCCACTGAGGGTGGTGCCACCCTTAGGCAGGTGGCTGGGCTGTATAAGAAAGGTAGCAGAGTAAGCAGCACTCCTCCACAGCTGCTACTCCAGTTCCTGCCTCCAGGTTCCTGCCTCCAGGGTCCTGCCTCCAGGTCCTGCCTCCAGGTTCCTGCCTCCAGGTTCCTGCCTCCAGGGTCCTGCCTCCAGGGTCCTGCCTCCAGGTCCTGCCTCCAGGTCCTGCCTCCAGGTTCCTGCCTCCAGGTCCTGCCTCCAGGTCCTGCCTCCAGGTTCCTGCCTCCAGGGTCCTGCCTCCAGGGTCCTGCCTCCAGGTCCTGCCTCCAGGTCCTGCCTCCAGGTTCCTGCCTCCAGGTTCCTGCCTCCAGGTTCCTGCCTCCAGGTCCTGCCTCCAGGTTCCTGCCTCCAGGTTCCTGCCTCCAGGTTCCTGCCTCCAGGTCCTGCCTCCAGGTTCCTGCCTCCAGGTCCTGCCTCCAGGTCCTGCCTCCAGGTCCTGCCTCCAGGTCCTGCCTCCAGGTTCCTGCCTCCAGGTTCCTGCCTTGAGTCTTCCCCTTGCTTTCTTTATTATGGACTATAACCTATAAGCCAAATAAACCCTTTTCTCCCCACGCTGGTTTTCAGTGTTTTATCACGGCAGCAGAGTCACAGACTCGGACAAGCGTTGAGAAAAGTTGTGTCAGCGCACACCTACAAACCAACGTGTTTTTCCTCTTTGACAGTGAGAACAATCATCTCTGGGTTTCCCTCTAAACTGGCGAAACTGTTTCCTTCTGAACAGTTCTAAACTGGCTGTTTAGAATTATGGCCTGCCTCTCTGGAGTCTTTGCCTCCTAAACTGGCTTTGTTATTCTTGATCCAGAAGCTTTATTTTTCATACAGACAGACGCATAATTCTGATTTACAGCTTCCAGGCAAATTGCTTCAAGTCCCATGGAGGAGAGGAGACGCGGAGAAAAGGGTGAACGGTAGGCAGGCTTCCCTCTGTCAGGGTTATGCTTAGGATTAAGTTTTTGTTTTGTTTTTGATTTTGAGATAGGGTTTTACCCTGTAGCCCAGGTTGGGTCTAACTTCAAATTTGTGGCAATCTTCCTGCCTAATGCGCTGAGTTCTGGGATTACAGGCATTAGCCATATACCGTGCCTGTCCGCTTCCTAGTCTTTAAAGGCCCACGTTGAAGGTTAAATTCAGAGTTTCCCAGGCTTGGAAATGGCTATACAAGTGTCTGTGTTTGTTTTGGCCCAGCTCTTCCCAGGCCTGGTCTTCTGGGAAACCCCCACACCGGTGAGGATAAGCCAGCGATTCTGCTCTTGGCCACCAGAGGGCAATGCAGGACAAGTTGATCACAAGCTCTCACAGGCCATTTAAAGCTGTTGGTCCTTCAGGTAGCAGATTTCTATGGCCCTGCAGGGGTCCCCAGGAAGTCAGAGGATGTCCTGATTTACTCGTATGTGGCTATTGACTGAGTCAAGAGCTGGGCTACTAGAGGCAAATTCTTAGCTGGTTTGAGCTTAGAGAGTGGAGTCACCAGCCCTGGCCACATGGCTCACTGGCTGGAGACCATAGCATGCCCCACAGAATGAGCTGGTTGCTACTCACCTCACAAGTCAACCTAGAGATGAAAAGGGGTCATGTGTGAAGAAGGTTCCAGTAGAAAAAGGATCCTCATTACTGTGTAGGTCAAGTTTGGGTATATCTCATCTACCCCCTCACACTCCAGTAAAACCTCCTGTGGTACCCCGAGAGGTATGCTCAGGGGGTCCTAGGAGACTGAGTTACCTAGGGCTACATAGCAACCAGACTCATGTTCCTTCTCTCAAACACTATGGGATGCTGGAGGGGCCCCTGAGACACAAGGAGGCTGTCCCAGGCAAAGACCTAGATTTCCTTATCTGTGACAGCCAATGACACGCAACAGCTGCCTAGAACTACTGGATGTCATCCTACTTGTGACTCCAAAGCTTCTGGAGGAGTCTAGGTCTGATCCTGACCCCCCTGTCTGTCCCTGGTCCCTGCTGCCTCTCTGTGTTCCCGGATGAAGCCTGGTGGACCCTTTACTCACCATGGATAGCTTGTGGCTCCTCGTGGTGTAGGAGAGAGACTGGTCTAGTCAGGGGCTCCCTCAGGGAGCTGTGCCGGGCTGGGGGCTTTGATAGAGGCGTGGATTCTGGAAGCTGGGGCCTCTCTTTGCGGGCCTTTGCACAGGGAGCTCTGATGCTGCCACAGTCGGATTCTGCATCAGAGCTGAAGGAGGAAGAGGAGGGTGAGCCAGAAGCTCTAGAACCCCACCCCACCCCCACACCCCATGTCCTACTCATCACCTCGGACAGTCCTCAGGGGCCTGGAGCAAGGGTGTCAGCCCAACTACCTCTGTGCCCGGGCCCAGACTTAGCTCTGTCGTGTCCTGGATTATGTCTCCTTAGATTCCCATGCTAAGGGGGTGGCTCCCAATACCTCAGCATGTGACTGCGTTTAGAGAGAGGACCATTAAAGAGGTGACTGAGTTAAAATGAGGTCATTATGGTGGGCCCTAATCCTATGATTGGTGCCCTTATAGGAAGAAACAGGGACACAAATGCACATATAGAAAGTGGCTGTCATTGCAAACAGGAAGATGCCATCTACAGGCCAGGGAGAGGCTTGAGATAGACCCCTTTTCCCACAGAGGCCCCAGGAGAATTCTCCTCTGCCACCCTTTCATCTCACACTTGTCATATGACAGTTTCCTCTGGTACTGACATAGTCCATTCTGCAGGGAAGCTCCACAAGCAGGAAAGTAAACAACTCAAAATAGCTTCAGGAAGTCCCTGAATCTGACTAGATCGACCAAGCCCCGCCCCGCCAGAGTAAGCAATAAAAGTCAAGCGTCCCCCTCAGATAAGAGAGAGAGCTGAACAGCCAAGAAGACTCAGACAAGCTGAGGTACAAGGAGGCTCTGAGAGCAGACTGCCTGGAAGGAGCAGAAACCAGCCAAGCTGCCCAGAAGAGGTTTAGACCGACTGCATCACCTGGAAAGGACACTCTCTGACCTATGGAGCTGCCTTCAGGCTATGCAGTGTGCTCCAGGTTCCCAGCTTTGTGAGCTGTCACCCATGCTGGGGTGGACTGTGTTGACTCAGCTGTCTTTGAGTCATTTCTGCTCCTTACAAGTAACCCCTCACCTATATTCCTGTAGGCAACCCCAATAAAGCTCATGGTTCACCCAGTTGGACTTTGGTGGTATCTGTGCCTTGGTCTGTTGTGGGTTCCCTCTCTAGGGTGAGTAGCTGTGTGTTTCATCTCCCCAGAAAAAGTTTGATCATATATCATACTCTAGCCTCCAGAAAGTGAGAAGACATTTTCATGAGGCTCCCAGGCTGGGGTGCTGTTCTGACAGTCCCAGAGGCTGCTGCTACAGCCTTGGACAGAACAGGAAGAAGTTCCCTCCCAGGTCTCCTGAACCACTTCAGTGAAGGCTATTCTCACTCTCCTTCCTCCCAAGCCGTGGCTCTAGGGCTGGGGATATGGGTAAGTTGGTAGAGTGCATGCCCAGCATGCACAAAGTCTGGGGTTCAGTCCCTAGCACCTCATAAACTGAGTGTGGTAGCACACACCTGTAATTCCAGCACTTTGGAGGTAGAGGCAGGGAGACAAGATTTTAGGACCAGCCTCAGCTGCATAGTGAATTTAAGGCCACTCTGGGCCACATGAGACTGCCCCAAACCAAACCAAACCAAACCAAACCAAACCAAACCAAACCAAACCAAACCCACAAATGGAAACAAAGGCCAACAAGAGTATGGCTGCTAAGCTCTTCAGGCCAAAGAAGCTGATCTCTAGAGACCTAGTTCCTAAACCACAGAATGGACATGTGGCTTTCCTCCATCAGCTGCATGACTGGGCAGGCAGAAGGAAATACAGGGATTCAAGCGGTGTGTGTGTGTGTGTGTGTGTGTGTGTGTGAGCTTCTCCGAAACTGTGGACTTAATGCTCAACTGCAGACACAGTGTCGGCACAGAGATACAGCCCTGTCAAACCCAATGGGCTCAACAGAGCACTCTGCTTTCTCACAACCCGAATCTTCCTCACCCTCGGATGCCTCGAGAATATTCCTAATATTCCTACCATCCCTTCAGTAATTTGAGTCAAGACTGGGGAGAAGTCCTTGAGCTCTCTCTTATTCTCCTGTTTAGTCTATCAGCAAATCCATCACCATGGCTCTGACCCTTGTTCCCCAACTCCCAGGAGCCCCAGGTTCCTACCAAGTCTCCCCCTGGCTTCAGTCTCACCCATCCTGTCTCCTCTGCTCTGCACACCGAACGAAGCCTGTAGATGTCTAAACACTCTTCATGGTGTGCCATGTAGAGTTTAACCCTCTTTCAATTGTTCCCAGAATAAAATATAAATTCCTTCAAAACCAATCAACCAATCTTTCTCCCTCTCTCCCTCCCTCCCTCCCTCCTCTTCCTCCTCCCTCTTCCTTCCTGGTGCTGAGGATTAAACTCAGGCCTTGCACATGCTAGTTAAGTGCTCTACCATTGAACTACACCCAAGCTTCCCAGGATAGCCCCGCCCCTACTTCACCCGTTATTGGCTGCTGGCTACGTGGACCTTCCATTCTCTTCCTACACCATTCCTGCTGCTCTAGCTGACAGCCAGCTAGATCCAGAACCCATCTGGGCAAGCCCAGCCTGGCCAGCACAGTCTCACAGAGGCCCCTTAGCTACTGGCCCACATGTGAGGAAAGGGAGCGACCCACTTGCTCCGGGGCTACTTTGGCACCCATCACTGTGGTACTTACTCAGGGACTGACAGGCAAACCTTTCCTGGCCATCCAGTCTAAGGTGACCATCCCGACCCTGTTTATAACACAACTCCACTTTCTTTCTCTGCCTGACACATCCGTGGTATTTTTCTCGTTTAATGTTTCCTTGTTTCCCTGGCTGTCTACCCAGGTGATGAAGATATCTGGTAGCAAGGACCTCACCTGGTGTGTGAGTCACAGTTACACACTCAGAGTCTAGGCATTCATAAGCAGTTGATACTGATGCTTTCCTGGATGCACTCAGTGTATGTGGGGGCTGGAAGAGGCCGGAAGGCTGAGCTTCTCATAACCACAGTTGGTGTGGATCGGATGCTGGGTGCATAAGAACTATATTCTCCCCTCTGCCCATCTTGGCCTCTCCCTCACCATGAATCAGCATTGGAGGGCCCCAGGAGCCTCTCCCTGTGACAGTGTCACTCATTTGCAGCCCTCAGTGTGCCAGCATGACAATGGACTCCTGGAGGAAAACAGGGCCTTTTCCTTCTCTGAGAAAATGACAACACAGCCTTGGAGGATTTACTATGCAGCAAGAAATATCGGGCACATGTCAATTCTGTGAGTCTCACAGCTCCTTCAGAGGCAAGCCACTATAAGAGTTCCCATTAACAGGTGAGGACACAGGCCCAGAGAGTCCCTTTGCTGGGAGTTCCCAGTGGAAAGCAGAGCAGATCCCAGATGCTGCCGGCCCCCACCATCACCTTGCTTCTGCCTCCATCCTTCAGCAGTCTGGGCATACCTGCTGTCCTCACTGGTGACCAGGACACGTACAGCCAGCACATCCTGCCCGACTGCATCTTCCCCAGGGCCAATCCTCACTGAAGTCCATTCAGAGGGTTGGGGAGAGGTGACGTCAACTTCCATGTCTCTGGGGGTGGGCTCAGGGATACTCTTTGGCTTCTTGGGGGAGGTGGGCTCATCTGCTGAGAGAATAGGTCCTCTAGAGATAGCGGAACAAATGGTCCCTTTCAGGGCACTGGCTGCTCCAGGTGTCTGGATAGGATACTGGAAAGGAAGCCTCTGGTCCATTCAGATGTTCAAGGACAGGCTTTCCCATCCTCTGTGCCATTGTCCAGGGCCATCTCTCAGCCCAGTAGATACCCCCCAATGCTTAGGGCACTCCCCGATGTGTGTAAAGCATGACTACATATATCATCTCATTTAACCTGGAGGGAGGTGCTGATATGTTCTCAGGGTCCATCACAGGCTCACTGGCCTCTGGATGGCTTTGCTCAAAGTGCCTCTGCCAGCATGCTGTTAGATTCAGAGGTGACATCTTAGATCTCATCTTTAAAAATTCTTTCCACCAGGTGTGGTGGTACACCCCTTTAACCCCAGCACTTGGGAGGCAGAGTCAGGAGGATCTCTGTGAGTTTGAGGCCAGCCTGGTCTGTACATAGTGAGTTCCAGGCCAGCTAGAGCTATACAATGAGACCCTGTCTCAAAGAAAATAAAACAAACCCCATTAAAAAATGTTTCTAAGCTGTGCAGCCGTGGCGCACACCTTTAATCCCAGTACTCGGGAGGCAGGTGGATCTCTGTGCGTTCGAGGCCAGCCTGGTCTACAAAGCAAGTTCCAGGACAGCCAGGGCTGTTACACAGAGAAACCCTGTCTCAAAAAACCAAAAAAAAAAAAAAAGTTTCTATTTTCATAGCTTCCCATGTGTATGGAAGCATATGTGTGTGTGCATATGTGTGTGTGTGTGTGCGTGCATGTGTGTTGTATACACATGTATGTATGCATAGCTTCCCATGTGTATGGAAGCAGGTGTGTGTGTGTGTGTGTGTGTGTGTGTGTGTGTGTGTGTGTGTGGTGTATACACATGTATGTATGCATAGCTTCCCATGTGTATGGAAGCGGGGTGTGTGTGTGTGTGTGTGTGTGTGTGTGTGTGTGTGTTGTATACACATGTATGTATGCATAGTTTCCCATGCGTATGGAAGCGTGTGTGTGTGTGTGTGTGTGTGTGTGTGTGTGTGTGTGTGTACATGTGTAAATGGAGGCCTGAGATGGATATCATCCTCGATTGCTCTTCCAACTTATTCATTAAGACAGGACCTCACAACCAAACCTGGAGCTCAGAGATATGCCTAGTTTTGCCAGACAGTCTACTCTGGAAGTCCCCTCTCACCATCTCCTGAGGCTGTAACTACAGAGGGTCACCACAGCTACCTGGCATTTCTGTGGATTTCTGGGGATTCGAACTCACATCCTCGTGATTGCACGGCAAGCCCTTTAACCCTCGAGTCATCTCCAGAGCCCTTCAGTTCTCAGCCTATTGACCTTGTGGCCTAGCCTGTCAAGGTCATCCACAAAAGGCTCCTCTCAGCTCCCAGACAGCTCTTCCCAACTTCCTCCTCTGTGCCAGTCTTGTCTGTACTCAAGTCTCCAGTCTCACCTGCTCTCATGATTCTCAATAACCCTGGACAGTGAGGGGTCCCAGATTTGCACCCACAGCCTGGATGCTTGCCCTGCATCTGGATGAGTGTCTCCTGTTCTTACTTGACATCTCCATGTGGGTGTCTAGCAGACACACCACATGCAATAAATCCAAAGAGAGTCCTCCATCTTCACTTTTCCCCAACGCCTGCTCCGCCCATCACCACGCCCAGTTCAGTCAGTGGCAACCTGAGCCTCCTGAAGCTAAGGTGGCTTAGGTTGGTACCATAACGCCATACTTGATATCACCCTCACCCTTCACAAAGTCCTCTACAAGTGCGGATGGCTCTTCCCTCAAATGTGCCAGGAATGGGGTCTCTTCCCTGCCACATCTCTAGGCCTGGCCCCATCACATCTTGTCCAGATGTTAAGCAACATCTCTACCTAGGCCCCCAGCCCTTTCCTGCCAAGCCCCATCCCCCAGTCTTTCAACAGCAGCCAGAATCAACCCATGAAAATGCAAGTTGGAGAATGGCATGTCTGCTCAGGATCCCCTGAGAGGTTCCTCGTTTCACTCTGAGGAGAAGTGGAAGAGTCCCATCTAATTCGGCTCTGTGGTCTCTATGGCCTTATCTCTTCACATTGTCCCTTGGCTTGCTCTGCTCCTGCTCTCTCACCGCTGTGCTGTCCCCTCAGGACTCAGGCCAGCACCGTATTAGACCCCTCATGTTGTCCCTGAATCTGGGCACTATTCAGTGCCGTCCCTGGATGCTCCCGTCACTGCCTGCAAGCATTGGTCAAATGTCATCTCAGTGTTGAAGTGTCCTGCTGAGGATGGCCATACACTCTGCTTCCCTTTATTATTACTCATAGTGAGTCTTGCCTTCCAATAAGCTGTATAATTCCTATTTTTGTTTTTCTCTTTTTATGACCAGGATGTGGGCAGTGCTTTGTCTGTTTTGGTTGTTGTTAGAATCATGCCTTGTAAAGCAGGTGCCTGTGAGATGCCTGTTGAGTGGCTGAATGCATGAGCCCAACTCCAGCCTGGCCACTAGCTAGGTGGTGAGTCTTCTCCTGTCACAGGGAAGCAGCTGCCCATGTTCCTTCTCGAATTAGCCCTCTGCTGGCCTTGGCTCCCTCTCACTTCTCACCCCCAATGTGGCTCACTATCTTCTCTCTTTCCCGTGTTCTTGACTTCACCTACTGGATTGGTTCCATCTGTGCTTAATATACAGGAGGCCCCACCTCCAGCCCATTTACTCTCCTCTCATTCTGGCCAGTCTTGGAAGAGTTGGGCAAGCTTTCCCTTGACCAACCCCTACAATTATGAGACCTTTGCCTCTCTACCCTCTTACTTCTGGAAAATTCTCTGGAGCCTACTTGTTGCTGGATCCAGTTCACAGTGTTTCCCCCACCCCCAGGTTCTCCTCTGGCTCTTGACTTCAACCCTTCTCTACTCTGACAGATTTTCTCCCCCATCTCTCTGTCTCTATCCTTAAGTGTTGCATCTTCATGCATCTACCCAGGTCTCTCCTTTTCACCCTACAGTCTCTGGAAGAGGAATCTGCTTAGCTGTGTTCCCCACCTGTAAAGACAATTCAAGAAGTCTGAGCTTTCTGTGAAATTCCTGAAGTTTTAAAATACTATAAGGTCAAATTAAATGTGAGTCCTGGCAGACCCAAGCAGTGGGCTATCTCGTCTAACCCCAGTGTGCGTGCAAACTCACGCATGTGCACACGTGCCTATGCTTTTATGTTAGTGCAACTGGGGAGGGAGGCATTTGGGGGCTGTTACTGACTGCTCTGCTAATGATGATGATGGTAGCGATGGTTGTGGTGATGGTGGTGATAACAGTGGTTGTGGGTTTGGTGGCAGTGATGGTAGCTGTGGTGGTAATAGTAGTTTTGGTTTGGGTGGTGGTGGTTGCGATGGTTATGGTGATGGTGTTAGGTACGGTGATGATGGTGGTGGTTTTGGTTTTGCTGGTGTTTGTAGTGATGGTAGTAATAATAGCAGTGGCAGCTTACCTTTATTGGGCCCCCAGTATATGCCAGGGATACTTTGAGCACTGACTTGTACTAAGTGTGTCACACTCATATACTCCTTCAAGCAAAGCATTTTGTGACTCCCTTTTCCTTGCTTAGATAATGGAAACATTGGTTAAGACACCCACAGATGGTTACATGTTGCCCTTCTGTATGTCTGTCTGGTAGGACAGAGTCACACCCTGTCCTTGATGTTGTAGTCCTTTCGAGAGTAGGCAGAACACACCCCTGCCCCAGCAATGTAACACTTGTCCACCACAGTCATTGGATATTTGTGACTCATTTGAGCTGGGGCTATGAGTGGCCTTGCTGGGTTGGATTGTCACTCATGTTCCTGTTGAGAAAGCTTGTTTCTGATGACTGCTGTTCTGTTAGCCTGGATCCTTGGTTGAGGGCACATGGAGGGACAGACCTGGAGCCCATCCTTAGACATCCAGCCTGTGGAGTCACCCAGCAACCCAGCAATAGGACTCAGCAATAGGAAGCAGAAGAGGCCACACATCCCACTGAGAGTTGAGAGATTTGTTCAAGATCCTAACTACTAGAGTCTGTTCTGGTGTGAGGCTTGAAGAAATTCCTCCTGCCACACCCACCCCCTTCCCATGGACAAGAGCTGAGAATGAAATGTGTGGAGGGAAATCAAGGCATCAGGATACAACTGGAATACAGAACCCCAGCCAAAGAGCTCAGCAGAGTGAGGTCACGGCAGGCAAGGAACATGGTGGTGCTGGACAAAGCAAAGAGCCAGCCTCACCAGACCCCAGAAGCCAAGGTCACTGCTATGATACTAAGGGTGGGGGTGTCAGGATTAACACCCTGGCGCCTCTCTTGATCACAACCCACCTTTCCACCAGTGCATCCTGCTCGCAAACCTAACAGGAAGCTAGTTCAAGGCACCCTGGAGAACAGTTTGCAGGGCTTCCATCTCTGTAGCATAGTGCAGCTCAGGGATGGCAGAGCACAGGGGCAGCACAGACAGGCAGATATCTACGATGCTATCAGCAGATGACAGAGAGCTTGAGCGGGCAGCCCTTCCACACATTACCAGGGCTGTTATCACTGCTTTGGGAGGAAGACTTGTCCTTGGCATTGTTGAGGTCCTCAGCAGGACATGTGCTCAAAGACACTGCTGCTACCCTAGGGGCTTCTGAGAGTGACTCATCACATTTTCTAAAGGAAGTAAGAGTGACTCATCACATTTTCTAGAGGAAGTGGAGTACCCTGGGATGTTCAGAGATGAATACATGGATAGGTAGCGATGGGGTCTCTGGGTCTACCCTCCACCCAGAAGCCTGGTCAACCTGCCTTGCTGTGTTTTCCCCAGGTGTCAAAGACCCTGTGTGTGTGTGTGTGTGTGTGTGTGTGTGTGTGTGTGTGTGTGTGTGTGTGTGTGTGGTGTGGGGGGCAGAATATGGACACACAGCTCCACCTCTGCTGAATGAAACCAGGATAGACAGCATTACTTAGAGGGCCCTTTATGGCCCCAGCAAAAGCCTAAGCAAAGAGATAGACACACTCAGCTAAACGGACATGGAAGGGAAGCTATACCCTCCCAGATGGAAGCCACACCTCTGC